TCATTGAGGAAAAGTGGCATTAGATCGTCCTATTTTCTCCTCTTGGTGAAGGGGATTAACACAGTTTTGCTGGGGTTGACAGACATCTGCTCCCACCAACTGTGAACAACGTCCAACGCGCTTTGGAGGATATTACAAACTATCCTTCCCGAAATGGATCTTGCCAGAATGACTAGGTCATCTGCATAAGCTTGCAGATTCAGGTTACAAAAATGAAATAGAAAACAAACATAACATCAAATTTGCAATAATTCTTGAATCTGCTGTGGTATGTATGTTTGTTTGTTTGTTTGTAATTCTCAAGCTCGGGATCTGTGCTTGATAGAATTATCGACATTATTGCTTGATATATTCGCTGGCAGATGGCGCTGTACGTAACCTCCTTAATATATCGACATCATTGCTTGATCTATTCGCAGGCAGATAGCGCTGTACGTATCCCCTTGATATAGTTCGAACTCACTGTACATGAATTTCTTCATTTGAAAAAGGTATTTTTTCATCACACCCGCCTGCCGCCTTATTTGTAACCCTCCTTTGCGCGCCTGCTGCCTTCCTTGAGCTTGGTAGCTGATTTTCAGGCTCCCTCTCCAGAATCGGGAAATATCAATGGTCATTTTTCTAAACAATCAATATACGGCTGATTGAACCCAAAGTTTAGATGAAATAAATATAGTTTGAAAAGACTAAAAAATACGCTTTCATAGCATACGAAACTAAAAAATGAAAAATAAATATTAACAAAGCGATCCAAAGCACAGAGAAGTAAACATAGTTGATTCTATATTGTATTACTTGATAATTTCAATAAATTAAAGATGGAAAGTAGTAAAAAATCAGTTTATAAGTACTGCATAGTTCCAAAGTGCAACAATACAACGAAAACTGCTCCTCAAAAAGTATTTTTTCTCGTGCCGAGGAATGCAAACATTTGATTAAAGTGGTGTAAAGCTATAAAAAGGAACGAATTTGAGAACCCGAAACTGTCTGCAACGAACTGCTTATACTGTTGTGAAGATCACTTTGAAGTAAGTATTTTTATATTTACATAGGTATATTTATATCTAGTGTCATAGTCTAAAATACTTATAAACATATTTACTTCTCGAATATAAAACCTTTCTGACTGCTGTTAATCTTCAATTTCAGGTAGAAAAGGATACAGAGAACTTCATTCAGTTCCAAATAATGAATTACGTCTACGTCATTACGTCTACATAAAGGTATTGTGCCCCACAAATTTTAGTGTCAGAAAGTAAATAGGCCAAAACCTGTGAGAGAAGCTGGTCTCAAAAGACAAAGACTGAGGTTACTTCAAGAGATTCTATCAGAAGCTGCTCCCAGAGAAGTTATGGAAGAAACTAATTTATGTGTAGGCCCTGTGGATACAGCAGATAAAACAATCACCAGAGAAATAAATTATCGTGAAGCTGGTCCTAGTTCATCTTCACACGACGTTTTCTCAACAGAAAATAAAAGCCTTGCTTGTGACAAAGCCGTTCAACTTTACACAATGAAGCCAACGACAATGAAATATAGAAGCATAGGTGTCACTGTTGGTCCTTAGACAAAAAATGTAGCATCATCAACGTTTCTAGTACCAGTTAAAAACACATCAACTTCACCTATTGAAACCGCCCAGATTTCCGGTATGAAAAGGAAGTTATTCCCAGATACAAAACCAACAGACGATTTATCTATTACATCGCACTCTTCATCAATCTCTAGTGAGTATGAACAAGAAACTACTTCTTCCGAAGCGAGTTGGTCTCAAGATAACAAGGACACACAATTTCAAAATGTAATGCGTAGTGGAAAAAGAGCCTAAAATGATGTTAGGAGTGCCTAAAGACAGTTACCATTTGATAAAACTATTAAGTGATAATATCCCAGTTCCCACTTTTGACATTTTAATAACCTTGAAGAAAATAAAGTTAAATGAATCATTTGACGACATATTAGCTATACAATTTGGCTATACACAGAGCACTATAAGTAGAATATTTTCGAAAACAGTAATTGTTCCAGCAGAAAAAATGAGGGAGTTAATTGTGTGGCCTAAACCATCTGACAGTTGAAAAATTCACCTATCGCTTTTAGAGCACGGTATTCTAAAGTTTTTTCAATTATAGATTGCTCAGAAACATAAATTGAAAAACCGTCCAATGCAATCCACCAGTCTCTGTTTCTTGTACTCCAGATGGGTTAGTCAATTTTATTTCAGAAGGATATGGTGGAAGGGCTTCTGACATCATTATAGTAGAAAATTGTGGCTATCTAGAATGTTTACCTCCAAACACAGCTGTTATGGCAGACAGAGGCTTCAAAGACTTGTCATATTTGATAGAAAATAAAAAATGTACCCTTATTCAGCCTTGTTTGGTGTTCAAGTCTACAGCAAGTACAAAACATGAGGTGAAGCAATCGAAAAGAATAGCAGCATTAAGAATTCATGTAGAGCGTGTAATAAACAGGTTGGGAGAATTTCATATGTTGTTGCCTCATGCATGTGTACATCACAGCTTAGTTCCGATAGTAGATGAAGTGATAGTAATAGCATGTGGCATAATCAATATGCAAAACGTTTTAATAAAAAAATTAATAAAATTTTCAAGTGTTTTATTTTTATTCATATTGGTGTGCACACTCAGAAGGTACCTTATTTTCAATGTATACACTCCAAATAGAATGAATATAGGCTACAAGTAACTTGGCTAACTGACAACTAAAATTTCAACTTGCTCCTCATACTATGATTTATTTGATATTTTTACATATAATAGGAAAAATGGTATTACGCCAGAAGAGCATGCTTTTTTCAAATTTACAATATGTCTACTTCCTTTGATATTTCAAAATCATGATGTGCAACACAGAAAGCCCTTTATTTCATTTGAAAAATACATTTGGACCTGAGCCATATATTTTGAGGATATAACATCTTTTGAAACATATCTACTCATGGTTTTCTCAGATGATGGACATTTGATTTCAATACTGTAATCAATACTCTCACCATCAGGAGATGCACCAAATACGGGATAATTAGGGTTTAAGTTCAAACCACACCCATTAATTTTTAGTTTAATTTTTTTTCGACTTCTTTCAATACTATTTTCTCTAGCAAACGCCCTCTTTTCATCGCCTCTGTGTCCTTTAATTTAATTACTCCCATTATACTTTCACATAAAGTGCCTTCGAAAACTTTGCAGTGTGCTGCTTCGTGCATCTTCGAAGCAGTAATCCTAGCATACCGTAGCTCATGCCACAGCGGACAGTCATTCTGATCAATTGTAGCTAGATTAGTTTCATTGCAAGATGATGTGTCCATCATACTCCTGGTAGTGTATTTACTAAATGATGAATGGATAATTTTTCTACTCTGCTTTTTTCCTTGTAGTATTTCATGAGTTGACTTTCCATGTGACCGATGCTTTTGCTATGGTTTATTAGAGTTGGCAGAAGGCTTCGAGTATTGGCAGATGGAGCAGGTTTGGCTTTTGAACTACTACCTAACTCTTTAGCTCTTATATACTTTAGGGTTGTGCCTATCGTGGATAATTTGGACTTCTTCCAGTAACAGTCGATACTAGTAGAGGGAGGGTCTTCGCTACGCCTGTGCAGCCAAGCTATAAAAGTTGTTGGCATGCTTACATCCACCTGAAAATTAAAGATATATAAGATAATTATATTTTCTGGATAAAACATGATCACATTTTCGAATCAGACTCTTATTTTTATAAAACAAAATGTGTAAGTTGCAACTTGTGTTAATACTAATTCGTGCCCTCTAAATAATACTTTACCAATCAATTATATGTACCTGAATGTGCTGCGCAATCCTCACATTCTGCAGAGACAATTCTCTGTTCTGCTATTACAGAGTAACACTTCTGTTTCACATTATGTTCGGGAGTAATACGAGCTTTCACTACACATATGTTTGCTTCTCTATTTACTTGAACATATCCAATAGCTGAATCGCCATAAGAATATCTTTCGGACCTGAAAACACAAATATTATCAGGTTAGAATGAGAAGTGATTGTAAACATTTTCTTAAACAAATTTTTCACTACATTATTTGAGGTTATGTACACTTTCCCAATGTTAGTAAGCAAATAACTAGAAAACTGAACGGAAAGCTGAAATTAAAGACACTTATACACAATAATTTTTCGAGTACCATGCAGCTTTGACGTCTCTAATCTCAGCTGAAGTGAAATCGGGATGATTTGCGAAAAAAACATGAAGACATCTATTCTCGACAAATTGTCAGATTGTGCATGACAAATCCGGCTTCAGTCATTGTATTTATTTTCTGGGACGTTCACAGTAATGATAAAATGATAATAGCCAAATAACTGCTTGCAAAACTCTAATTAGACGGAAAAAATATAATAGAAGAAGAAGAAGAAGTTGTGGAAGTGATATTGTTTCAAATGAACTTTTTAATCATCTATTGAGTGCGAGAGAAGTGAATAAAATTTAAATTTTTCAGTAGAAATATACCATTCGCTAGGTTTTCAATTATTTCCACACCTTTAAATAGGCTTTTACATATATGTGGACTTTTCAAAAAATAAGGTAAATGTTCAAATTCAAATGTTCAAATCAGATTCGATTAGCGATTTTTCTATTTTTTTTATGTTCACAGTTTCAACTGTTTAGCATTTTGTATTTGTTGGCGAGAGGCATAAAAGTAAGAAGTGTTTTGCGTGTTCAGCGATTTCCGCTACTGAAAAAATGGATCAGAGATTTCGAGTAAAAAATGGAATTAGGTGTTGACAGAGGCATACGGTGATTATGTCGGAGAAGTTGCTGAGGATATCGGCATATCGCTTGTCTCATGTCATGCTATTTTTTCGAAATTTTTGGCATGAAGCGTGTGGTAGTTCGCTTCAAAATTGCTGAATTTTGACTTGAAAAACCGTCGCATTAGCATCGCTCAGAAATTGTTGTGTGACGTCAACGGCGATCTAGATTTGAATTAATTTGAACATGTCGTCAAGTGAATATACCGCTCTTGTTGCGGAACTCAATAAGACTAAAAAAAGTGTCTTGAAAGCTCTTCACGAGAGGGCTTCTGAAAATCCAATACTACAACAGCTTGTGAAAAACAATGTGAAATCTGTGAGTTGTGAAAATGTTACTTCAGTTGATGCATCAGATCCTGATAAACACCAGTTACAGTTCAACGTTATAAAAAGTAAGCACATTGAAAGAGAGCTCCTATTGGCCGAAAACCTAAATGATCAAATGGCAAGAAAGCTTCATGATCAGGAAGAGATTATATTTTAATTGAAAAATCTAAACATAAACCAGTGATATCTACCAACAGAGATAAAAACTGCTTGATAGTTGATAAGGCACCGCTATCGGCAAATCAATATAAACGAACAGAATGCAGACACCAGTGATCGTCGACAACCCACCGCAAATGCACAAAGAGGAAAATCAAGAATACTGAAAATGGGTTCAAATAGAAATAAAAATTCAAAAATCCAGGGTGGCGCCAATGACTTGGGGTGGTTGTACATTGGCAGAGTATCAGGTCATCTTGAAAATTTAGTGATTCAGGCATTCCTGCTGGAATCCTTCCCGAATCAAAGTATGAAATGTTACAGGTTGAACTCCAAAGGTAATAATAGTTCATTTGAAGTGGGTGTCACAAAGGAGTTCAAAGAGCTCATGCTCAAGAGTTATCTTTGGCCGAACAATGCACCCATTAAAGAATTTGAATTTTTTCGTAACTAATGTCAATACTTTTTGTGAAGATTATATCCAGGTGATCCCTCAACGTAAGAAAATCACCCTTTAAATTGCCCACTTAAACATACGCATTCTGCGAAACAAAGTGGATAAACTTGAGTGTCTGTTAGAAAAACTCTTGAATTTCCTGATATTATTTGCGTAGCTGAAACGTTGTGTAAAACATTTGAAATGTTGCAAGTTTCTCTCATTTCTTACACCCTTGCTGACTATTTTTGTAGGGAGAGCATTATGGGGGGTGGAGTAGTTATATTCGTGAAGGACACTTATAAAAAAATCTGAGGAAATATTCGAGTTTTCCTCATTGAAATAAATGCTCACAATATTAAATTTGATGTGGGTTGCTTTTATAGATCTCCATCTAGTGATCCAAAGGGATTTCTCGAAAACATGGAACACTTTCTTGACTCAGCACTGAAGCATACTAATGTGATTACATTTATGTATGGCAATTTCAACTTCAATTTTGACGTCAATATGAATGACAACCATGCCAAAACTCTTTGCAACCTTTTTTCATGTTACGGGCTGTACAAGTGCATAACCGAATACACTAGAATTAGTAAAAATAGCAGTACTGTTATCGATAATATCTTAACGAATATCCATACAGACATCAGTAGTGAAGTAATTCATGTCGATTCTTCAGATCACTCCCTACAGAATGTTTCTGCACAAATATAAACTTCTGATAGACAAGGTACTGAATACTCTTAACACAGGGTTTTCAGTCCCAGCAATAAAGATTACTTCAAATTTCTTTTATCTTGTGAATCTTGGGAATTCATTCACAGAGCTGATCTCTAAACTGCGATGAGACATTTTCTATAATATTTTTTGGAACTGTTCAATATTGCCTTTTCCCTAAAACAAAACAGAAAGCGAAATGATAATAAAAAAATGCACAGACCGTGGATCACTGAAAGTTTTATTAATGAAGGCAAGTGCTTGAGAGAGGTTTATTCTATTTGCAAAAAGAATCGAGACATTGATGAAATTCTTTAACGATATAAACTGTTACTCAATTGCCACCATAAAAAAATTAGCTAAGCAAAGAAAGAGTATTACGTTAACAGGCTCGCATCAGCTCGAAATGAATCAAAAGCTGCGTGGTCAATAATTAATGAGAACACTGGCAAAACACAAGAAGTTGCAAAAAATATTGAAAGTATCAATGGTGGAAATCAACTCATAATAGAACCTGAGGAAATAGCTCAAACCTTTAATATTTTTTTTCAACTTTTTTCAACTATTTACCTGATGAAACATGGCCGTCCAATTGGAGAGCCTCACAATGATATCAAAATGAATTATCTTTTCTTAGGTCCTATTGATGAAACAGAGCTGCCTGATATTCTGAAATCAATTGCCCAAAAACACTCTTGGGGTCTCGATGAAGTCCCATGCTCCCTCTAATATGCAGTTGCAGACGGCATTTTAACTGCTCTCACATATCTGATCAACTCGTCTTTTGTTGAGAGTATTTTCCTTCCATACTAACAGATGCTGCTCTGTTCCTAATTCATGAAAAAGGTAACAAAAAACCGTCAATAGTTACAGAGGCATAGCCCTATTATCACCTTTCTCTAAAACTTACGAAAAAGCATACAATGCCCATGGACGACAACGAAATTCAGGCAAATTTTATGACACTTCATGATTTATTACTCTACACTCTTTTGAAATAGACTATAGACACTGTTATGTTCTATGGAATCTTAGAAAAACTGTTCCTCTGAATGTCCTACTCAATTATTACTATGCATATGTTCACTCCACCCTAAATTATTGCATCATTTGTTATGTAAATTAAACCAGAATCAATGGAGTATTAGTTCCCCAAAAGAAAATCCTAAGAGTTACAACTTTCAAGGGTCCCAGAGACTCATGTAGGGATTTATTCTCAAATCTGAAAATTCTAACAGTCATCTCATTATATATACTTATCTGTGTATCAACTGCGAAGTCGCAGGATGAAAACTTCATAGGCACAAAAGACTTGAGTCGAGCTACAGGATATAATCTTCTCGAAAATTGTTCTCTATTCCACTTCATCACTCATCTATTGTTTCAAGAGGTGCAAAGTTGTTTTTACACTAATCGATCTATATCCACAGCATACTTTCATTATATCCAATGTAGTTTTTAATATGCATTTCAATCTGTATGTGTGAACAATTCGCTTTTTCTTTTCTTTTTTTGTTATTTATTTTAATGTTATTTTATCATAAGAACCTTTGTAATGCGTATTTTTATGACGCACCTGACGCATTTCTATGTTTATTTCTATGAACCTGGAAATAATAAAGAAATTCTACCAACTACTAACTACTTCCTAAGCTTTAATGGGTCATAACTGGTGACAAATTATGGATATGTGGTTATGTTATCAAAACCAAAGACCAATCGTCCCAATGGAAGAGCCCAGGGAAGCCAATACCAAAAAAGCACGCCAAGTTCGATCAAATGTCAACGATTCACTCAGTGTTTTTTTCGAATACCGCGGCGGAGTTCTTCAGGGGTTCTTGTCACATGGTCGTACGGTCAATAAGTAGCATTATCTTGAATTGTTTCGCCGCTTATCTGTCTGTTTAAAATATGTTTTTTCGTTAATCAGCTGTCGCCCCCATAGCAACAACAACTCTCAGAAGTTGAGAAACTTTTGCGAGCTGAATATTAAAGAGGTCTTACCTTTTAACGTGTGATCCCTAACACATTATGGAAATAGTTCAAAGACGTACCAAAAATGCATATCAAAACTGCTTCAAGGATTGGAAAAAATGGTTGCACAAGTGTATTATATCTGAGGGAAACTACTTCGGAAGAGACAAAATGAAAATTGATCAACGAATGAATACTTTTTGAGAAAAATGCAATTTATCCTATTTTTTCAACGATAAAATATAAATTTGTAAAAGTTGGTAAAACTTTGAAATGTATAAAGTACTACTGACAAAAGTGGAGAATTGAGTGACATAAAATAAGAATGTACAGCCGCTATGGCTTTCTACAATTCATTGAGTATGAAAATGTTATGTACATGAATTACTTCAATTTTTTTGTTATTGTGGGTAAATAAATAACAAGTTATATTTTCGCCATATACCAATAAATCTTCAACTCTGTCTTATCTCTGTGAAATATTGTATGAAAATCACGAGGAGCTTGTGGATTATTTATTATTATTTATCATGACTATTGTTGGGTTCTGGGAAACGCAAAACAACATTGAATATTCTGGAAATTCTGAGATAATACTGTTGAACGAATGATTTATTCTACAGCTTGGTACAGGGAGTATTGAATAACATTCACTTAGCTTTGTGCCCAAATATGTAAATTCTAATCTGATTTCCCACTTTTATGACGAACGACTTTTCTGAACTGTGGTCAATAATTTGGGTCGTGAAGAATTACAGAAAAAATATTTTAACTCTTCAATATGCACTTATTGTTATCACAGTTATAGCTTATTCCTTTACTTACGGTTATTTCCTTCGATAATCGTATAATAACTTCGCATATACTTCGAAAGGAATCATAATGACTAGCTTCAATATCGTAATCATTAGATTCAAAATAATAGAGTTCACAATATATTTGAGGGTTGGTTCATACAAGAATATACAGTGAAAATATCCAGCATTCTCAGAAGAATAACAGTTTTTTCAGTAGAATTAGTGAAAGGATGAGTTTCGCAAAATCATGTTCAAATGCCAAAGAGCATTTCAGAAATCAAGAAGAAGGATAAGACACGACTTTCCCACGGTTCATACGAAAAATACACGTATAAAAGTTTTAGAGGTATGAAGTCCAAACAAAATTGATCGCCTTAATTTGTGTTTTCAACGGAAGAACAGTTGGAAATATATTGAAAAATTACTTTTTTGTAGACAAAATCAGAATTTACTCACATCAGATAACTATAGAATTTGAGGTCTGAGAGCTCCAGGAAGATGGGTATGATTTGGTANGTTATTATTACAAAGCGGTTATTATTGAAGTCTACTAGTGAAAAAGATCCATTTGTTTTCATATCTGATTGAGTAGAAAAACACGCATTAGTTTTCAAACTAACCCCCAGTTGGCTGATTCATAATCTTTATGTTTTGTTTTTAGTCGGAAAGTTCTCCAAATAGGTAAAGGAATAGAAGATGTGAATTTTCTGCGATGGGAATTGGTTGCTTGCCTCATCTGCGCCTGGATTTTGATTTACTTTGCTATATGGAAAAGTATTAAATCATCAGCTAAAGTTCGATATTTCACTTCAACATTTCCATTCGTAATCATTGTCATTTTACTGATAAAATCTTTAACGCTGGAAGGAGCTGATTTGGGAATGCGTTATTTCTTCAAACCGAAATTTGAGTTACTTCTAGATGCCAAGGTGAGTATTCAAATCCCAATCTTCTTTAGAGAAAAAAAAATTATTTCTTCGTTTTCAATAATAGAATGGAAAAATAACTTGTCTCAGAATTGTATCAATTATAAACGCAGGTACCAAAGAAACTTTTGAATATTTACTCATTATACTTTCCTGGGGTTTTGGCATTTCGCAATTTGAAAATTGTTAAAAAAATAGTCAGTGAATATTTTCCCAATTAGCTGAGATGCAATGAAAAGTTTAGATACTTTCGATTCTGGTATGAACAGTTTTGAAGTTAAGAATAACTTGTTCTTTATGGGAAAGATCGCTTTTGGCTTTTTCTCCATATTCATACAAAAAAAGAAGGAAAATCACTCATTTTAGTTTAGTTTGAATTCCAAAAATTCTTAATGGAATTGATTCAGATATCACTCTGCAATGTTTTCATTTCGATTCACTGTAATACGACTCATCAGAGTAACTAAACTAAATCAGATGATATTTCATTATCTAGAAATTATTACTGATTAAAAAAGTAAAATATAAACCAAGTGAGTATATTTTTGTTTTGAAGGATCTATGTTACATCTATGGTTAACCAACAAACATCTATTTGTATATATATACAGTGTCACACATAAAGTCCGCATCAAATGGGATTTTTTTTGTTCATCTCTTCAAGCAACTTTTGATATCTCTTACCAGATCATGAAATGTGAAAATCCATAGAAAATGATTCCTAGTTTACCTGTTTTGTCAAAATTTTTATGAATTTAACGACTTCAAACTAACAAATTTCAATAAAAAACCCCAGGTAATGTCCTTTCTATGAAATTCGTTGAGATCAGTTATTATTACAAAGCGGTTATTATTGAAGTCTACTAGTGAAAAAGATCCATTTGTTTTCATATCTGATTGAGTAGAAAAACACGCATTAGTTTTCAAACTAACCCCCAGTTGGCTGATTCATAATCTTTATGTTTTGTTTTTAGTCGGAAAGTTCTCCAAATAGGTAAAGGAATAGAAGATGTGAATTTTCTGCGATGGGAATTGGTTGCTTGCCTCATCTGCGCCTGGATTTTGATTTACTTTGCTATATGGAAAAGTATTAAATCATCAGCTAAAGTTCGATATTTCACTTCAACATTTCCATTCGTAATCATTGTAAATAGATGTTTGTTGGTTGGTCGGTAAGTTACAAACTTCTACATCGCTCAACCGATCGTGATGAAACTTTACTGTAACTCGCGATTAGATGGCGGTGTAGAACAATTTTTTGAAAGCACTGATTCTGTCAAAACATTGGAACAGCAGCGATACAGCAACATAGTACTAGTATCATACATATAAAATGATCTGAAATTCCTGAAAGAACCAATAAAAATGACAAATTAAAAATAATAGCTGAAAATAACAATTCTACTCAGCAAAAAAACTCTGAAATGAAATACAAGTAAAAAATAAAACAAATAAACAAAAAATGAACATAAAAAATTAAGAGATTCCAGGCCAAGTTACTTCACGACGTTTCGATTGTTAGTACCTACAATCGTCTTCGGGTGATGACTGGAATAATTCCTTCGAGAGATTACTATTTATGGGTCATTCGAGTGCTTTCACTTATCTTCTCTTTCTTCTTTCCGCTTCACCGGTTAACGGGAGATGACCGTTGGACATGTATGCGACCTCTTTGAATTTCCTCCTAAACCAGTAATCCTCCCTATGTATGGTCTCAGCTTGGGACCACTCGATGTTGATGTTAATGGGTCCAAACATGCTCTGCCATTCCTGATTTGTTGGTTTCTTGTGCTCGGCGATGAGAACTTTCAATAGCTTCTTAGGTTCACCGATATAGAATTTTCCGCACTCACAGGGTATCCGGTAAATGCAATTCTTGGAATCGCAGACCACATTTGGTGGCCTGGTTTTCGTGAGACTGCTACGGATAGTGTTTCCAGATCTGAAGCAGGTTCTGATGTTGTGATTGGACCCAATTCTTTTTATCCTTTCCGATAATCCTCTGATGTAGCGAAGTTGTGGCGGCTTTCTGTCCTTGCGAGGCTCTTTAAGCCAAGATTTGGCATTCTTAGACGTATTGGTAAAGAGGACCGACATTAAGTGGAAAACATCTGCATACCGAAAATTCACTCATACGGGACAATACCTGAACCAAGAATCCAACCACCATCAACCGACTAAAAGAGGAATTATCAAGACTCTATTAGACCGTGTTTTCGGGCTGTGTAATACGAAGATAGGCCTGTAGAAGGAATCAGACGACATCAAAAATGATCTTTTTCAAATATTGCATGTATACAGGGTGTTAATTGAGTATGTACCATAAATCCAACAGACGATTCTTTAGGTAATTTTAAGACAAAATGTTCATATAAACATGGGTCTGCAAATCCTTCGTTCCCAAGATACAGGGTGTTGAAACAAAATTTAAAAAAAAAGTTATTCGTAAATATCTTGGATATCCTTCAACTAATTTTGTTGTAATCTGACAATGGTATTTATGACATTGAGGAGCTAATTTAGCCGAAACGTGATTCAATTTATTAAGTCCAGTGGCGATTTGAGCGGGATTTGAACGAATATTTTTGACTTAAAAATGTACGTCACTGACTATTGTGCAATTTTTATTATTTCTTTGGATTGAGCGGCGGCTAGACGGTTATATTGAAGCCGAAGGACGCCATTTCCAACAGTTAATTCAGTGCAATTCGTTAGTCTAGATGTTAATGTTATTTATTATTTGTTGTTATTGTTACATAATTAGTAATGAAAAATTGTAAAAATGATAATTTCCAAAAGAAGCACTTAATTCCACATATCATTCCTTGTGAGGTCCAGGGATATGCAATTAGGTCGACTTTTTTTCTTAAAAACTAAGCAAGCTACGAAAAAATTCAAGATACAAAAAAGTTGTATTTCTAATTTCTCAATCCAAAAAAGTAATGAAACCTGCAAGAAACAAAGTGGCGTACATTTTGAAGTCAAAAATATTCGTTCAAATCCCGCTCGAGACGCCACTGGACTTAATAAATTGAATCACCTCCGGCTCAATTAACTCCTTAATGTTATAAATACCATTGCCAAATTACAACCAAATTAGGTAGAGGATATTTGAGATATTTAAGAATAACTTTTTTTTATTTTTATTTCAACAGCCTGTGTCTTGAGAACGAACGATTTGCGGACCCATGTTTATATGAACGTTTCGTCTTAAAATTACCCAATGAATCGTCTGTTAAATTTATGGTACATACTTAATCAACACCCTGTATGTATTCAATAATGATAAGCCATTTCTTCAAGATTATTATCATTGAACTGAAATGGAATAATTTTTTCACAAGACAGGTTTTGGCGTTCTACTTGTACAAGCCATATTTTTTTGAAAAAATAAATCTTTTCTATTCTTTCTTTTCTATTTGAATAGGATTCATATGGCTGGGATCAAATCAAATGAGCGAATTAATGTTATTACGTACTGTCATCGATGACATGAATATTCAATTATTCGGGATTTCATGAATGAATTGAGTGCTTTCTCTTGTGATGTTATCCAGTTTGGTACTGAAGTGGAATAGGACAAGTGTCTCAATTCGAAACATCGATGTCCGCCATTAAGAATGGCAGTGTCCCATGTGGGAGAAATATCACCTCTTTCATATACGATATTGTGGAGCAATCTTGTGAATGATCTGATCCGATTCCATAACGAGTGTTTGGAGTACAGGATGAATTTCAATACTTTTTTTTTCGGTGCAAATCAATCGGAACCGCTGAAAAACAAGTTTCAATTTCTTATTTCTTGAATAATTCAGATATGTAAGGTTGAAATTTTCACTTTGAACTCAAATTTTAAGATTTAAGTCGACAAGTCGTGTCAAAATAAAAATGATAATATGTGGTCATTCAGCAAATTTGTATTTTTGAGTTTATCTTAAATAGATTTCCAAAAAAAAAATCTCTTTGTGGACTTCATTAGGAAACACCTGAAATGAGAAAAAAAATCAAAATAACAAAAACTTTTGGTATCATTATGGACTCCTAAAATGAAATTTTGAAATATCTCAACACCATGTTTCAATCATGCAGCATCTTATACCTTATTTCTGTTCAGCCTATTTTCAACGGCTATCATTGAATATCGATAACGTTTCCGCCATAAGTTTGTATACTATACAAGTTATCAGATATTCCACCAAACTACGAAAGTCGCTTACTTGAGACTCAAAACAACTTCGAAGTGACCACGTGTGACATGACTACAACCTTCAACTTTTCGTAGAATCAATAATCGTTTCCGTAGCCATAACTAGGAACTAGTATCTACACGAAAACTTTCCAAAGCCATGTCGGCAATAATGTCTGTCAAACCGAGGAGATCGTTATTAGAATCCCATTCCAAAATCCGTTGATTCCAGGCTTTCCATCACCATTTGCACTCATCGAACTAATAATTCTCGTTTAGTTGCAATTAGGTTCAAAATATGATATTTATAATGTTGGTTTATTGGTAGAGAGACTGATTTATGTCATGTCGTGAATACTGAAAAGGGAACTACCTATATATTTTAATATATTTTATTGTGATATATATCTGGATCATACGTTATTGCAATTTTCAGGACTACACAAAATATGTATTCGACGTTAATTGAATTGTTTCAAACTGAGCTAATGAAACTCATAAAACTTTACAAGCTTTTATTGATTTTCTTTCCGCCACTACTTATTTCAACGCATAAAGTAGACAAATACTATTTCTTCATAATGATAAATTTGTATTGGAAATGACAAGTAAACAAAGAGATCTAGAAAACTTCACAGATGTAATATTTGTGTCTTTACACTATGATCACCAGACATTTTGTGAGTGACAAATTTTTGGCAAAATATTCATTCGAATGTGGCTTGTGTTTTATTTTGAATATTCAACTAAGGATAATTTTTTTCTGAAAAATATTTGAAATTTTCCAGAAACAATTAAAATTGTTTGAGTGAGAAAAAAAGAGAGCTGGATATGATATTGACAGGAAGAAATGAAAAAAAGTTTACGATAGAAAACATAGTGATAATCGTTGGCTCATCTACGAACAATCCACTGTAATATTCAAGATATCTCTTTCAATTACTAGTTTATTTTCAATAATATACCCAACACATCTCAAACTGAACAGTAATGAAACTAATTGGAAACCAAATGCAGCAAATGAAAATACTAGCGAACCGCCCCGACTCCGCACGGATGCAATGCTGATACTGAATATACTACACAATGTAATACACATTTACAACTTTCTTGTCGAAAGACAATACAAAAAAGTCTTCTTCAGATGTTACCCTTGAAAAAGCGACATATAATAGGCCGCCACCGCAATGATCTTGCATTTTAAATCTGTAATATTCAATATTTGCTGTAAACCCTATCCCCCGAAGCCCCGATACATTCGGGAGGCGCGCCAGCATTATCAACCAATGACCACTCCCCACATCGTGATGTGAGGGATCATTGGGTCCAAGAATCTATGCTCTGAGCAAGCGCAGTTAGCCAAGAATGACAGCTTTCTGCATGTGTGCGGCTAAGATTTCTGCCTTTGTGCGGCAAACCGGTATGATTTTAGGATTCGAGAGTAGAGAGGGCATCATTCCACCAAGGATTCCAATAATCAGAACAACCATCTTGACAGAGTGGTCTGGATAGAGTCTGCGGAGTTCAAAGAGAAAATTTCGATATTTCATTTGTTTTTCCTCTTCTTTTCGGACGATATGCGTCTCGCCAGAAGCTGAAAACTCCACGAAAAATATCGTTTTGCTCTGGTGGTCTAGAAGAACTACATCAAGCTTATGAGCTTGTATGAGCCTGAGGTTAGGGAACGAATAGTTCCAATGAATTCGTCACTTCTCGTTCCCCACAATGGATTCAATATCCCCCGGAGCATAGGGCAACACCGGTGTCTTGTCAATACCGTAAGAATACCGTAGATGGTAATATAGCACTCTTAGGGCCGCGTTATGTCGATGGATATAGGCCGAAACCGCATATGCTGGACATGCTGATAGCAAGTGCATTAAGGCCTTACACCTTGTGTCAGGAATCTTGATATCCATCACGCGACTGCGGTAGACTAAGGTGTTGAAGACACCATCCTGGCAAGCCATGATGAACCCCTCAGTTTCCGATTCCAGCCCACTCCACCTGAGAAAAGCGAATGTAAGGCGTTAGCCATAGTTTCTAATGTTATTGAAGAAGACTCCATGCTGTTGCTTATCCTTGTGTTTCCGCAGAAGTAAGGTGATCTCTGCGGCTTTTATCTGAGCTTTTATCTGAGCTTTTTGCTGAAAGGGTTCCAACTCGTTGCAGAGTTGTGGTCACCTCGTTCAGTGTCGAAAACTATACCGAGTTCATCAGCTGCTCGGGCAGCTGCCCTAAAGAGAAATGCTCCAATTTCTGCTCTCTCATGGTTACGGACCATGCAGAGAAGGAGATCCGAACTCCTGACGACGATACGGGCTGTATCCAGTACCATTCTGTCATGTAGACACTCCAACCTCAAAAGTCCACGGCCTCCCTATTGTCGGGGGAAGTACAACCGTGGAACGGACGATTTGAGATGCAAACTCCTATAGTGATGCATCAGTTTTCGGGTTTTTACGTCGAGTTGATACAGCTCCTCCCGAGTCCTCTTCACTACTCCAAACGAGTAGAGTAAGATTGGAACGGCCGGCATATTTGTTGCAGTAACTTTGTTCTTCCCCGACAGTTCCGATGACCAGATCTGTCGAAGTTTGTGCTGATACTTGTCGCGGAGAGAGTTTTTCACTGCTGTTACCTCTTGTGAGTGGCGTTGTTCCACCGTGAGGTAAGTATACTTCTCTCCGGCATACAGACGGTGTAGGATGCTTCCATCTACGAGCTGCACATCCTATCCGTAGTTCCCGCATCGTCCTCTTTTGAGATGGATCATTGAACATTTGTCTATTCCGAATTTCATTCCCATATCATGCGTGTACTCTTCCACCACTCTCAAGGACTGATGGAGATCCTTCTCTCCAGAGGCATAAAATTTGAGATCATCCATATAAAACAAATAGGTGACCTTGTGCTTCTGGTTTCCGGGGGTGCCTCAGTTATACCCTCGAGTATTTCAGAGCGCAACGGATAATGGCAATAGTGAGATGCAGAAGAGAAGGGGACTGAGGGAATCACCCTGAAATACACCCCTTCTGAAAGTGACCCACCCTGTTTGGACTCTTGCTTGACCAGATATTATGGTGAAGTGAGTTTGCCAAACTGGCATTAGTTGTTCAATGCATCTCACTATTTTGTCGGGTACCGCAAGGCATCTGAGGTGGTGGGTGCTTGGTAGTTTTCCCCACAAATAAGTATTCTGCACATCTGGGCCTGGAGCAGCAACGTTCTTGGAACCCACAAGGGCTCTTCGAACGTCATTCGGTGTTATCGGGTTGCGTAGTTCATTGAGCTCAGGCTGTCGAAGCTCTCTGTTGAGAGCTTCGAAATGCGCTAGGGCTGGAATGTCTAAGTTGAGTGGCTGCGGGTGTTCATAGATATCCCTCCAGAAGGATTCCACCTGATCTACGGCGGACGGATTATCCACAACACGTGTAGGCTCTTGGAATAAATGAGGTTTTTCGCGGAACCTAAGGTTTTCTCGCTCGCCTCACTAGTGACTTCTTAGCAGTCACTATTATTCGTATACTATCAGTGTAGTGCTGTTTGGTGGTCAGCAGCACGCCTTGACACAAAATCTGATAGAAACGTCGTACATTGGCGGCTATTCGCGTGAAGGGTCCGTCGGCCGCCCTGTAATCCATCACACATTGGATACGAGACGCGTGTTGTCCCGCAAGGCCGGGATTTCGTCTTTCCGATTCGGAAAGCGATTGGACGACGCTTATCATTATTATTATTGTTATTATCATTATTATTACATTAAATTATGAAAAATAGATATATATATATCTACTGATTAAACACTGAATAAATATAAGGGACAATGTCTCAAAAACTAATTGATATGTGTCATTTGTAGGTGTGGGTAAATGCTGCTAGCCAGACATTCAACTCTATGGGTTGTGCATTCGGATCGATGATATGTTTTGCAAGTTACAATAAGTACAACAACACCATTTTGCACGACACCATAGCAGTGTGGCTAGTCAATGGGATAACAAGTTTGATCGTTGGCATATTCGCCTTTGCTACTATAGGAAACATAGCAACGGAACAGGGTACCTCAATTGAAGATGTGATTGATGATGGTATGTTAAGAATAACGTTTCTGGTCATTTTCTGTTCGGTAACTGATGGTGTTATTCATTTTCTAGGTCCTGGATTGATTTTCGTGGTCTACCCACAAGCAATGGCCAAAATGCCGGCCTCTCAACTTTGGGCTGTTATATTTTTCTTTATGTTAATATGCCTCTCTTTGAACAGCCAAGTAACTAACGATTATCCATAATTCAACGGAGTTATAAAATTTCATTAAGCTCTTTTTCAGTTCGCAATAATCGAAGTTGTGGTAACAGCAATTCAAGATGGGTTTTCTGGATGGATAAAGAAGAATTTAATGTGCCATGAAATTCTCGTTCTGATCATATGCGTTGTTTCTCTTATTTGCGGACTTCCTAATGTAACAGAGGTGAGAAAAAAGATATAAAATAGAGTATTTCGACTTTCGTTTTTGAATCAAAACGTTCACTGCTGCAATGTAAAAAAAATTGTCCCTTTGGCCAGACATTTTATTAATTTTTTTATTTCATTTTATTGTTTTGTAACACATGCCAATTTTAGTTTCATAAAAATAATTGTTAACAACAATTTGTTGTGACACGCACCTTGGTTTTAAGTGGACCCAATGCATAAGTTTTCTTCTCTTAACCGCCTGGCATCAACGTGGTGTCTCGAGATAACTTGCTCAGACATCTCTGTCTGACTATGTGACAAGTGTGGTTTACTTATTAGTTGCCGCTGTGCTTGGTTACGGTTGTACTCAAAATGAACTACGAACGGAAACAAACGCATTTGCAACAGTTGTGGCAGATAAAGAAACAAATATTGAATGAGTAATGGGCTGCTATAAATATCATCATTTTAGGAAAATTTTTCAGGCGAAAGTGACAATATTTGGAGAATCATCAGATGAATAGATTTCCAGCCGCGGTGAAGAATCTGATGAGCCTACAGAGAAACTACCCCCATAAAAGGGTGTCAAAATTTCTTATGCAAATGCAACCGAATCGAGTGCGCCAACACCAATCTCATATGTATCAGATAATAATGATTCGGTAATGTAAACAATTGAACAGGTTATTGGGGACTATGGAGATATGAGAAGTGACGACAATGAGATCTCAACAGATGATAACAATCTTACCTGGGATATCGTAACAGGATTGAACTTGAAGAACTTTTCGTTTACGGAACCTGACCCTGATTTGAACGCTCTATTGCATGAAGACCATCATATGAAATCTCCGCTGGAATTATGATGATAGTTACCGAAACAAACACGTATGTAGCTGAGTGTAAGGCAGAAGAAAATACACCAAAGAACAGAATTCATGATTGGCAAGATACGAATATTGATGGATGGGTCTTGTTCAATACCCAAGTATTGAATTATATTGGTCCAAAATACCAATTTATCAAAATGCAAACAAATCTGTGACGTCTCGAAATCGCTTTCAGTTTTTAATGAAAATATGGTGTTTTAACAATAATGAAAAAGTGTCGGTAGACAGATTGCAGAAAACATCTCCTCTTACAAATATACAACGTCATATTACGCCAAAAGAAGTCGCGCGCTTTGATGAGACACTCGTTCCATTAAGAGAGCGCCTTTCTTTCCGACGAGTCATAAAAAATAAAAGGCCGCAAATTTGGCATTTAATTATATGAACTGTGCGTCGAGAGGGGATACACTCACAACGTAATGGCTTATTGTGGACAAGACAAGATAAAANGAGAGGGGATACACTCACAACGTAATGGCTTATTGTGGACAAGACAAGATAAAAGGATAATCTTCATCCAAAAAAGTGGTGCTCACTCTCGCGAATAACTTGTTCAAGAAAGGACGCACAATTTACACCAAAAATTATTATACAAGCATGGATTTGGCTCATGCTTCACTTGAGAAGGACACTAACTTGGTAGGCACTTGGAAGGATAAAAGGGACGTTCTCATTTTATCTACCAAACACACAGATGAGATAGTGACGGTTATCTTTAGCCGCGAAGCCGTGATTATAATAAGCATAAAGCATACATTGATTTGTCAGATTCAAATTCAAATTCAAATTCAAATTCAAATTCAAATTTAAATTCAAATTCAGATTCGAATTCAAATTCAAATTCAAATTCAAATTCAAATTCAAATTCAAATTCAAATTCAAATTCAAATTCAAATTCAAATTCAAATTCAAATTCAATATGGAAATCTGGTTTTTTTAAAAATTATTTTTGTGCATATTAGTTGGTTGGGTGGTTGGTTGGTGAGTGATAAACTTCTGAAAAGAGAAATGGAAATTTCTATGTTTTTACCACTTTTAATTGTAACTAACGTTACTGCAGTTTCGTCCTATATGGACAATCTCAAACTAATTTCATTATCTAATTTATCAGTTTGAGAATGTATAAAAATACAACACAATACTGATTGTTTCTAATAAGGGCATCATTGACAACTCTCTATATCACTTCCTTGATGTAGTTTATTTATTAATAATGTATAACAATAGTGATTGTATACAATAGGTGCACACCATCGTGATGGCTGATTGACAACTGGATTCGCTGCCGTGTTGCCGCTTCTACTGAATACATGACATGCCCCTTTTCATAAAAAATAAAAAAATGAAAGCAAAATTCTAAGTATCCCATAAAAGTATGTGTATAAAATTTATAAATAAAATTAGATCATAAATGGATGAATATCTACCCATATACACACATGAATTTATATCTACACATATCACAATTAAGAGTTGTTGAAGCAGTCTTATCAAATATGATGAAAAAATCAGTAGTTTCATGTGTGGCAAAAAAAAGAAAAGAAAAAAAAAATTCACCAGAAGAATCTATCAGGAGCTCTAACTATTCGACCACTTCTAGTTGTGATTTCACTTTGATTAGTGGACTCAGTATTATGGATGCCAATTTCACATTTCGGTTCGGAAACTTCTTCATTGTTCATGATAATTTGTTGAGGATTTTCAGTAGGAGATGTCGATTTTCGTAATGGTCTAAGGTGTTGCCTATTTCGACGATAATGAGCATTATCAACTTCAACATTATACTCATTGGGGCCCGTTTTATTCAAAATAGTTCCCTGTTTCCATTTCCGACATTTTTCTTGAACTAATACTGGCTGATTGTACTGAAAATCGTTGAGTTTTTTGGTGCCAACATCATACTAAGTCTTTTGGCTTTCTTGAAGACACTTTAGTTTCTCTCTTATACCCTGAATTGAATATTTTGGCGCAAGAACTTGTTGGCTTACTGGCAATGTTGTTCTTAGTTTACGTCCCATGAGAAGATCACAAGGGGCAGGTAAATGTTGTTTTGGCGTGGTATTATAATCGATAATCGCCAAGAATGGATCCCCTCCATCTTGAATGGTTTTAGTAAGTGAGCTCTTGACAGTTTGGATGGCTCTTTCAACCATTCCGTTAGATTTTGGGTAGTATGGACTAGATGTTGACAATCCGATTTCATATTTTCTACCAAATTGTTGAAATTCATATGACGTGAAAGGAGGTCCACAGTCTGAAAAAATTTCTTGAGGTAGTCCGTTTGCTGAGAATATATTTTTCAAAGTAGAAATCACGGTTTCTCCTGTCTTATTAGTTATTCTATGTACAACAGTGAATTTGCTGAAGTAATCTACGGCGACAAGAAAATCTTGGGTACCAATAGATTTAAAATCTATGCCAATTTTTTGCCATGGGAGGCTAGGAATATCGTGTGGCGTTAAAGGTTCTCTAGGGTTAGATTTTATATATGATTGACATAATGGACAAGAAAGAACAAGCTTTTCAATATCTCTAGACCAGCCAGGGTAGTAAATGGCCTCCTCCGCTCGTTTTTTACAGGCAACTACACCCTGATGAGATTGATGCATCAAGTTCAAAAACTCTTGTCTGAGGCTACGTGGAATGATAATCCGCTTTTTATAAAAAAGCACATCTTTGTGTGAAAAAATATCATCTTTGATATCCCAGTACTTTTTTATTTCACACTGAACATTAGCTTTGTGTTTTGGCCACCCGTTCAAGACATAATATTTAACTTTTTGGAGTTCAGGATCATCATTTATTGCTTCTTGTAATCTTTTTTGATTCTCTGGTCTGGTTGCTATTACAGAAAATACCTTCAAATTTGTTTCTAGATAGTCTGTATTTATAGTTTCTTCGGTTGGGTCACGACTCAATGTATCAGGAATNCATTTCGGTTCGGAAACTTCTTCATTGTTTATGATAATTTGTTGGGGATTTTCAGTAGTAGATGTCGATTTTCGTAATGGTCTAAGGTGTTGCCTATTTCGACGATAATGAGCATTATCAACTTCAACATTATAATCATTGGGGCCCGTTTTATTCAAAATAGTTCCCTGTTTCCATTTCCGACATTTTTCTTGAACTAATACTGGCTGATTGTACTGAAAATCGTTGAGTTTTTTGGTGCCAACATCATAGTAAGTCTTTTGGCTTTCTTGAAGACACTTTAGTTTCTCTCTTATACCCTGAATTGAATATTTTGGCGCAAGAACTTATTGGCTTACTGGCAATGTTGTTCTTAGTTTACGTCCCATGAGAAGATCACAAGGGGCAGGTAAATGTTGTTTTGGCGTGGTATTTTAATCGAAGATCGCCAAGAATGGATCTACAAATATTAATCGCTTCCGTTAGCTTAAGGTCAGGGCTTTAAAGAAGTTTTTCTTGAATACGTGGATCTTTTACACCCAATATAATCCGATCACGAATTAGAACATCTTTTTCTTTGAAGTCGCATGTAGATGCTAGTTGCTTTAGAGCTGTGATAAACTGGTCAATCGTTTCACACGAAAGTTGTTCCCGTTTGAAAAACTTGAAATGTTCGTAAACAAGGTTTTTTTTCGGATTGAAATGAGCTTCAAATTTTGATAAAATAGTGGCCAATTTTTCTCTTTCTTCATCCTCTTCGTACTCGAAAGTATTATAGATTTTTATAGCTTCGTCTCCAAGTAAATTTAACAGGATAGCTATTTTAACAGGATCTGCTTTCGAGGTTTTTCCACTGGCAATTAGGTAAAGATCAAATTTTTGTTTCCAAAGTTTCCAGTTTCCACTGAGATCACCACTAAAACTGAATTCTTCCGGAGCTCTGGTTTGATCACCCATTGTGTTAAACCTTTTATAGTTTTGTTTTAGGAATTTACTAAAATCCCCTTTTATTATCAACTGTCGACTTCAATGGATAAATTTGGCAACATCTATTGTTCAACAACAACTGACCTAATAATTTCCAAACCTGGCAGCACACACAAAAACAAATGATTTAGAGCACTTTACCGCTGTCACCATGTGAAATACTAATTGTTTCTAATAAGGGCATCATTGACAACTCTCTATATCACTTCCTTGATGTACTTTATTTATTAATAATGGATAACAATAGTGATTGTATATAATAGGTGCACACCATCGTGATGGCTGATTGACAAATGGATTCGCTGCTGTGTTGCCGCTTCTACTGAATACATGACCGTAATGACATTCATTCACCTATTTGATTTAATCCCAGCCAAGAGGAATCTTATTTGAATTGAAGGGGTTATATTTTTAGGAGTGATTAATCTTTGGGAAAGGAAGTTTTTGGCTTTCTACTACTCCATCTTGTTACAAAAAAAGGATGAGGGAATCCTTCCAAAGAAAGGAAGGAAGTAATCAATTTGAAAATAAGTAAAATTTATCACTCCTAAAAATATAACCCCTTCAATTCAAATAGTAATTAAAATTCTGATATGTTGGCTGCTGTAAATTTTTTATTGAGAAACTCTGTATCAACATTTTCTTTGAATCATCTTCAGAAAGTTTTGTGTTCAAATTCTTCAACACTTCCAACTTACATATTTTGTTATATGTATAATTTTATTTCCTTACAATGTGGATTTTCTTGACCTATCGACAATCTTGATTGATCCTGTCTTTATGCCGAGTGATATGATATTGGATATCTTTTTTCCTTGTTGTTAGATAATCATTTCTATTCTTAATGTGTACAATTGTAGAAAAAATATATAAACAAGGTAATGTCATTATGCCAAGATTGATAAAGTGGTTCCTACATGAATCTGTTTTTGATGAATTAGTTATACAGTGAATGATTTTTGTGTGTGGTGAAAAGTGTGCTTGACCCCAGAATATAAGGTCTTACCTTTCAATATGCGATTCCTAGCATGGGTTGCATGATTCGTAGTGGAAATCAATTGTCACGCTGAGTAGAACTAATCACTCAAGCCAATCCATCCAGGTACCTTGTAACCAAACAAATTGTATGTGTTGCACATGGATTTTATTGGAGACTTCAATGTAAAATTTGCCCTTGCTTAACGGTAAAATGTGAGGTTTTGACGTGAATGAAATCTAGGCACAATGAAATTTAGTTGTGATGAAAGCATACTGCATTCTACTTGGTTGCCATAGTTTGTACAAAAAAAACAAGTGTATACCATTTTTTTTAAGAGATGAATTGGTAGCTGTTTAAAAGAAACTCATTTTTTTAACCTCTTTCTGGATAGCTTCCCTAGTTTCGAAATGAATGAATGTTAAAAATTATCTTTGAACGTTTTCGAGAGTTTAAACATGACAAAAACAAAATTATTTTTGAATTATAGCCTAATATCCTAATTAAGATCTGTCTTATGTGTAGTAAAGAATTTTGAGGGCATTTGTATTTGTGAACTTTTGACAATTCCTCATAAGGAATTCAAGCATCTTGTTTGCCTTTGACATTTATATTCTCGACAGATCTGAAAATTTTTAGGTCAGAAGAAAAAGTATCTTTCCAAATTTGGTATCTACAAGTATACAAAGAAATGGACAAAACATTTATTGATCATAATTGAATTTTTGGTACTTTTATTAATGGAATGCACTGTATATTTTTTATTTCTGAATTGTAAAATTGAATTTAATTGAAAATAGTGATTAAGTGTTCATATTTTTAACGAAATTGAAAAAATTATCAATCTAGTATGTTTTAACGAAAGAATTTATTTATATGACTATTTACAGTGGAGCATTAATGTATATAGAGTCTAAATTTGAACAGAAATCATAAGGGATGAATTTGGGGTTATTTGATTAGTGCAGAACTTTTGACTTATCTTGAACAAACATTTTCATAAATATACGAAAAATAAATAGAGATAACAAATGCACTTTTGTATAAAAGTTTATAATATTGTATATTTTCCGAAAAATACTCATTTATCAAAAAACACTTGATTGTTTTACAAAAACACTTTTTTAAAAACTGTTTGGTGAAAATCTCACAATGCAGTTTTTTTTGAATAGAACCTCGTTCATTTAAGGCAACTTTCAATTGAAATGGACAGTGAAAAAGGTTATGTTACAATATTTAATAATATGTAGAAGAAAATCATATTACATTGCTCAAATTCTCTCCTCAGTTGTTCTAAATAATCACCAATATCTTGGTTTGTTCACGTTTTTGAGGAAAAATCAAATGCAAAAATATCTCTTATGATAATAGAACCTCGTTCATTTAAGGCAACTTTCAATTGAAATGGACAGTGAAAAAGGTTATGTTACAATATTTAATAATATGTAGAAGAAAATCATACTAGATTGCTCAAATTCTCTCCTCAGTTGTTCTAAATAATCACCAATATCTTGGTTTGTTCACATTTTTGAGGAAACATCAAATGCAAAAATATCTCTTATGAATGAATCTTTACCATATTGTACGTTGAAAAAATATTTAGTTACAATTTGAAATTTCAGCTTCCAAAAGAACTTTTTTTCCATACGGATTACCGTCCACTCGTGAGAGATTCAAATCACTATGTATTGGATGAACAAACACAAGTACCACCACATTTGATGCCTCCACCTTTCCTTGTAGATATTGATGGTAACCCATATCCCCCTATGCTTCAACGCTTAGTACCTGGCCGAGAGTTGTGTAACGTGGAACAACTTGTTCCAAATATTGTTATAGGAAATGAAGGTATGACTTGAATATTTCGTATATTTCTTGTAATGTTCATGTTATGTTTTTGCTTTCTGATGGGCAGAAGGTGAGAAAACCTCTGAAGAAGCCANCATGTCTATTATTCTACTCTAACTCTAGAGGTTCTATTTCTACCTTTAATTCAAATATTTATTATATTTAGAGTTTCACCATATATTTCGAGCATGCAGAAAATGTATATATAACATCCCAACAAACGTCTTTCAAATGATGGTTATCTTTACATAATTTATAAGTCATTTCAGGAAGAATCAAAAGAATTGGTCTTCTTTGCATTCTTCAAATGAAGAATTACCAACAAAACTAATACTGTAACGATGCAACAGACTTCATATTCGTCAGACATGGCTCTGTTCTTTGTTATTTGCAAAAATGAAAAGAACCTCAAAGGGCCGTTGTTTCACAAGCCTAGTATAGCAGTAGCAGTAGCACCTCAAAGGATATCCTTTAAGTTGCTACTGCAATAGTAGACACCCCAAAATGGTTTTTCTCAAATCAGATCAGTTACACTTTTATTATATGTATAGATAAATTAGTCCAATTTTAACTATAATAATTTAATACTCAAAAAACATTTAATGCTTGTTCTATGGAAGACAATGTTGACATGGATTCAATCATATGTAAAATTTCGATAACAGAGAAGTTGGTAAGTTTTTTGTGCTTCCTCTTGATGGATCTTAGTTTTTTGAAAATTATTTCAAAAATGATTGTATACTTTATTGTATACTTGTATACTTTAAATTGATCATTTTAAGGGATTTGTAATCAATATTTATTTTGAGTACGTTTATCAATGTCCCTTTGTAGAGTGGTTAGCATTTTCAGGAACATAAAGTCCCATCTTTGTACTCCCGAAGATACCAACACACCTTAATTCATATTTTCAAATACAGAAAAAAATTTCAAGAACCATTGAAATGACACAAGATACAAAAATAATTGAACTATAATAGATTGAATAATAAAAAAGGTACCAGGAATTTAACATGTATCATGCCAAAAATGTATCATGTAATGCCAGATCATATTTAGACAATCAAACCCTTTTATTCCTATGAAATTAATGAAAGAATGGTCAATAACAACTGATCGATAATTTTTCACAATTTGATAAATTGACAATTCATTAAAAAAATATGTTTCTTAAATAATATATTTTATTGAATTACTTATTCTTATGAGTTCAGCTTGATAAGGATTTTGTTGATTTATTCATGCAAATGAATATTATGGCAAAAATAGTTTTTGTATATATTCATGAATAATTTCTTCATTATGACTCTTCAACAATCCTGAAAAACGATAAATATAATGCAACCTGACCAAAAAATCTTGTGGAGTTCACCACTTCTTTAAAGTGATTGTTTTGTAATATTTGATATATGGCAGACATATTCCATTTTTCATGAAACTTTTCTTCAAAATATGAAGACTTTTCAACATTAAGAAGTCAACTACCAATAAACTCTAAAGGAGATTTTGTAAAGTTTTTGAATAAGTGTTTTTTCTATACTCTGTCCATATAAGCAACAGAGTACTCCAAAACCTCATCACGCATAGTGCATGTGATCTCCCAGACAAGGCTGCTTGTCAGAGTTGCACTAAGGAACTTATCAAAATTTTATTATTATTTTAATATGGGGCTGGGTGTTGAAATTTTTTTAGGTCGTCACGACGTTTTGATTGTTAGTATCCACAATCGTTTTCGGGTCATAACTGGGTAATAATTGGGTAATAATTAGAAAAATTATTGGTTTTTTAGCTAGATAATTGAATTGAACCGTTTTGTACACCATTATGTTGAATTCGTATTTTCAGAAAAACTCCCATTCTCTATCAAGAGAAAATTCGACCTGGTCAGGCCCAAATGATATGTTCTTCGTTTAGTCCCGGTGGCACATTTTTAGCTACTGGTTCAGCAGATCATCACGTTCGAGTTTATTACATGAAGGGAGACGAAGGACCTACTCGAATTCTGGAAATGGAAGCTCATAGTGACAGAGTAGATTCTATACAATGGGCGCATGGTGGACTCAAATTTTTGTCTGGAAGTAAAGATGGCATGGCAATAATTTGGTGGTTTGAACGACAGCAGTGGAAGAGTATTCATTTGGATATGTCTGCAAAATTGCCAAGGTATGACTTCTTGAAAAAATTTTTGTGAAGGTTACCAAATCTGAACAAATAGTATAAAGTAGGAAGATTGGTTTTCAATGAATAAATTCCAAAAACGATTCAATTTGTAATATTCTTTCTTATATAGAAAACTACATTGTCAGTGAGTAACATGAGCTGTATTTTATTAAAAAAATTGCAATAATCTATTGTGCCACAGTGTCTTGAAAGCCGCACCTGAGCTCGGCTACATGTAAAGTGGGCGTCACTGAGGTGAGGGAAGGGAGTCTGTTTCTAATTAAGGTACCTGAAATTCCCCAAAATCAATCTATTTTGCTACCGTAAAATAAAACGACAATGAATATTGATTACAGAGAAGCTCTAAACCATTACCTTAACTGACCTATGTTGCCATAAATGAAATATTATTCTGTTTAAATACAGTTGGCTCTTTTTAATTGAATTTGTAGTGTAAAAGTTTGGAAATCTAGTTAACTATGAATTTTTATGTAATATTGGACTAGAAAAAATTCAAAATATGTAATGAAGTCAGGCTTCAGTTTTTACAAAATATACAACATGAATCGGTTTTACAGGTGAGACTAACTAGACTAGACCGATGACTCATACTATTAGAAAGTTACATTAGGCAGTAGTAACATTTTTTACTATTTATTCAAATAAACTTGTATCCTCGGGATTGGTATCTACACTTGTGAGTTATTCATATTCTGAAGTTGATTCGGAAGAAGTCCTGGGTACAAGCTATTGTGTAGAATATGTTCAAGATATAACCATAAGATGATGACTCATCAAGATGAATAAACCTCTGAAGAAGCCAGCCACTTGTGCTGGCGAAACGTTACGATACAGTTCCAAACCACGACGGCCTTCAAACTCAAATGAAGATCGTAATAACCAATTCATTAAAAACTAAATAATTTATAAATAGTACAAAAATTATAAATAAAAACTTATGTAAATCTTGCCTAGATTGTTTGGTTACCACAGTTGTTAAATTAGGAATAATAAGAGAAAAAGTCGAATGGAGACAAGGAATTAATTGCAATTTTCTACCCTAAAAACCATTAGCGGACGAAAAAAAGGCAAGAGACCATTTTTATGAGAAGATAGAGAGCAAGTAAAAAAACAATATTTGGAAAAAGGACAGTGGCGTATCATGATTTTGATGAAAAATACGACAGGGCATGTTAGCAGGGACGCTACTGATGAACATTAAGAAAACCTTTACAATGGATGTTTATGCATACTGGGGAGAAACGATTTTTTTGTTAAATTTCAACATCCTGTGTATCAGAAATAAATGAATGCTAATCCACGTTCATATAAAGAATTTTTCTTGAAATCATCCAAGGATTATTGCCCTTCAAAATCAGCATTCATTTATGAAACACCCTGTATAATGTCGAGTAAAATGCTATATTGTTTCTATGACTTATAACAGGAAATATTAAAATCACACTCATTTGTAAGGGATATCCCAAATCAGAGTAATACACATTAAATTTCATAACAAGAAGTAACCCAAAAAAGCATTCAAAAATATGAAAACTGAGTGTTAAAAAAAAAATGGCGTACACGTGACTTGAACACACTACTACTGTTACTTAAGCTCAGAGTTCTACTCCACCAAGCTGGCTCACGAATTAGTGTGACAAGAAGCTATTTGAGTTTCTAAATACTCTCATTTTATTATTGAGTGGAAAATAACATTTTTTTCGCCACATAATAAATTTCTAGTCCCGAGTCCATGCTTTCATTCCTGTTTTTCATTAGAAACTATATATTTCAAAATGAACCGTAGTTTGAATGATTAATTTTGATGTTTGAGACTATATTTTAAATTAAGTAAATTTTCAAATGTTACTTTGCGACTGAAAATAATTAAAACTTTAGTTGTGGGTTATGGATCTGATTAATTGTGATTGGTGCTAAGCTGTGAGTAATGGGTCATTTTGTGTACTCAACCATCAAGAAACGGTCAAATAATTTAGGCCTTTTCTAAAGTCATAAAAATTTTTTCTATATTAGATTCATTTTACACCAGAAGTTTCAATTTTACCTCTCGATATATCTGTATTTTTTATATTTTTTTGGTGGAAACTTGAATACCTGTTAATTAATGAAAATTATCTTGCAATAACATTTTCTTGTGTTATTCATCAAAACATGATAAATGTAAGTAAATTTACAATTCAAAGAAAGACTGAATAGGTTTTATTGTTTGAAAACTGTTTTAGTAATTGTCAGATCCTACTACATATTCTAAACATCAAAGTATTCCACAATTAATAATTGCTAAAATTACATTATTCACTGTTTATTTATAGGTACTCAAGAAGTCATCCAAGATATACCTCAAAATCATGTGGGTTTTGTGCATAATGAAGATGAAGATATCAGAGAGCCGGGTTTCAGACTTGGAAGGAGACATTCGTAAGTTTCTCAATTCTGCCTCCCACAGGTACTAAAATATTCTTTTGTTTACCAGGAATAGAGAATTTGAGCGTATTAGACAGAGTACAGGCGATTGGCAAAGTGACCCCAACATCGAATGGAAGATTAATGTTTTAGTACCGCCATTGATAAAATCTGTTCTAGACAGAGCTAAACAAGTCAGGTGAGATTATAACTTGATCCAAAATGTTTCAGATGAAAACAGAATGAAGTTAATTTGTACAAATAGATTACAACCAGAACCTTTTCAGTACTGTTGAAAAACTTATTATACTCCCATATTGGTCTTGATGTCCACTAATCAGATGTAATTTCACTACAATACTCTTGGGTTAAGAATTTCTACACAAGTCAAAGTTTACTATTACGACAATATCTCGTATTTTGATTTCTGTCATTGAAGAGAACCATTTTGTATGTTTACTTGAAACGGAGAGATATTCTTTGACCCACCTTCGCCAAAAATAGTATGTAAGTAGTTGAGAAATACGTCAACGTTTCAATTATTTCATTGATGGAGCCGTTACTATGTGGTAGGAGAACATAATGATAAATTAGAAATATTCTTTTGAAATGTAATGTAGATAAATAAATCTATGTCTATGATAAATCGATGTCTAATGAAACTTTTTATGTTTTTTACCACTCATTTGTAAGTATCGTTACTGCAGTTTCATCCTATATGGATATTTTCAAACTAATACAATAAATACTTTAAAAGATTCATTTGTGGTAATTCCGACAAAACTTTTCTTTACTTCAGAATTATCTAATTCCAAATTTTCAGTCATTGGCCATTTGTTTTCATTTCGTTTCAAGAAATCTGGTCCATCTAGCCAGTTACTTATTAGAGGTAAACTGTAAATATAAAAACTTTTATATTCTTTACTACAACTTTGACCTTGCTTTTCGTGAAAAACAAATTGAAGTCAAAACGAATGTTACTAATGGGGATACGTCCGATATAAAAACATACTCTAAATGTATTTGTGATCTGCATAGCTTATACAAGGAAACAAAATGTCAAGCATTACTCATCAGATATAAAGAAGAAAGACATACAGAACATATTTATCAAATCACAAAAAGGCGGTAAATGATAGCAAAATCTCTGCCTTGCTTAACAAATCTAAAACTGTATTTTCAATCAAAACAAAAATAAAAATGAAGGCAGGCAGGCAGTCTTATATGTAGTCTAGATATGTTACAAATCCTGATCGTTTTAATGAATTATTCGCTCAGTTCAGCAATGAACATAAGGTAGAAAATGATAACATAGCATATTATAGCAAAACTACAATATTTCTCAGACTGGTGGATCGTTCAGTAATAGTCAATACATTAAATTAAATGTAACCAAAATACTCATGTGGTGTAGATAGCATACCACCAGCAATATTTAAAAAAAAATCAGATCACATATGTGAACCCTTGGCAAACATAATTAATGAATGTCTCTCATCTGGTATACATCCAGATGACCCTAAAATAGCTAAAGTAGTTCCTGTCTGCAAGAAAGGTTGTAAGAATGACAATAATAACTACCGGCCAATATCATTACTTCCACCACCTGTTAAGATATTTGAACATGTAATATATCATAGGGCTCATCTCATTTATAAAATGTCCATCAATTTGATTTCAGACAAGGAATGTCTACCGAATTAACGATATTTAATGTAGTTAAACCCTATTATAGTTCACAAGAATTTTATAATGACCCATTCTAACTCAAGCTTGTTTTAATATGTTGTAAGATGTTTCTTGTGTGTTAGATTTTATATATTGTTGTAGATATAAGACATTCTAGTACAATGTTGGTGTCGACTTATTGTTCAATTTCTTCTTTCTGTGTCTATTTTACTTTACCTTGATTTAAGATTGTTTAAGGCCTTTACTTTTTCAACAAGATTTTGTATCTTTGAACAGTAAAGCATATTCTCTTTCTCTCTCTCACAGAATGCTGGTAAAAATAACCTCGGTAGGCTTGTAGTATGACCTCTCAAAGGCTTTTGACATGGTAAACTACAAAACACTCCCAAATAAGCTGGAAAAATATGGTATAAGGGGTAGGTTATACCTATCAAATCAATTCCAAGTTGTTAGCATAATGTAAGAACATATAACTATGCTCATGTGCAGTCATTGATTTCATATGGTATTATAGATTGGGGTTCTTTATTATACTCACAAAAAATAGTCATTTATAAAAAAAAATCTGAGATATATCCTAAATCTTGATCAAAGAAGCTCTTGTGAGGGGTTCTTTTGTAGACTTGACATTTTTACAGTGCCAAAGTTTTACTTCTTGGGTCGTGTCTGCTTTGTAAAAAATATTGCAACATGTTTCCCACACATACTAGTGATAATTCTAATAATATAAATATTAATACCAGGTATTGTAATGAACTGCCTAGCTCTAGCCATAATAATAATGATAATGTTTATTTCATAAAATTGAATACATTTACATATAAACAAGAAGAAATGCTTAAATAAATATGACAAGCCACTGAAGCTCATAAAGCTAGTGTACAAAAAAAAGTGAAACAATAAACTAAGTTAATACGTTTTGTGCCTGATGGAAAAATCATGAACCAGTGCACAAACATCATCACAGTCTAAACTATCGGCCATAAAAGAAACTGTCATTCATAGACCATATACATAGAGCAATTGAAAGTCATTAGTTTTATATTTCATTCAATGATCTGGTCTGAATATGGTCCTTGATAACTTCACATTTGTAGAGTTGCTGTCTATTCTATAAGGTAAGTCCTTGTTCAGAAAGATTTGCAACTGTACAGAACATGATGAACATGGTGAACAATAATGACAAATGTGAATTAAAACATATGACTAAAAGTACAAATATGCATATAAAGCAATTGTAGACTATTAATTGTGAAGTTATTTCCGTTTATATTTGTAAATATTCACTTTCTCACTTGTGAGAACATGTGCACTTTCTTTCTGTATCGTTACTTAATTTTTTTTCTTTCCAATATTTCATGTATCTCACCTATTGTTATATTAGTTAGCCATAATTTCAGTTTTTTTTTTAAATCTGTTATTACTTGTAATAGACTTTATTTCAATTGGAACTTCTGCATAGGCCATAGGGCACAACTATGTGAGAAATCTTTGACTTCGAGATGTGCTTACTTTAGAAATTTTTGAGGTTTTTTGTTCAAATCTGGTGTTGTGTAAATGATCCAGTCAATAATTTCATTTCGTATCTTCTATGATACATTGCAAGACTTAGAAAGAATATATGTTTGCATGTAAAACATTTAGATTCTGTGAAAAGTGTTTCAGACGGACATGTATAATCTCTATTGAAAATAATTTTGATGAGCAATTTTTGAGTGAAGTTGATAACCTTGAGGTGATTTTCAGTAATACCTCCCCACACAATTATTCCATAGTTGATATGGGACTGTACTAGACTAAAATATAATGTTCGAAGCTGTTATAATGTTCGTAGCTGTGCTATATCAAATTTTTTTTTGAAAAACTCAAATTTGTTCAGTAGAGACATTATTTTATTCACAACATATTCTGCGTGCTTATTTCACCTTACATGTCCCTCTGTTTTCTATTACCTTCATCAGTTTCTTTACATATTACCTTTATCAGTAACTTTACATATTATGAGAAAAGAGCCTACTATCAGGCAATAAAAGCTTATAGTTCTCTATCGAAGAAACTTAAATATATCAGAAGTGCAATCATTTTTATTCGAGACATAAACGCTACTACCCGTTTAACTGCTGGCTAAGTTGAAATTTGTCAATAAAATTTTTAATATGCACTGAAAGGGTTATATTCTTAGGAGCTAATAATTTTTGGTAAAGAACGTTTTTGGCTTTCTACTATCAAGATGCAGTAGTAGAAAGCCACCTAGGTTTCATAATAAGCTCCTTTTACATCTGAAGAGGTAATCCTATAATAATTTCAAATATTATATTGTAACACCTAGTCTGTGAAGTCCCAGGCATAAGAAATAACACGCGTTTTTTTTTGTTCAAAATTGCTTCATCCATCAATGTAATCTCCATTAAAAGCCACACAACCATTTCAGCGCCGCTCTAACAATTCAATACCACTTTTGTCGAACGATTTATCTTCTGCCTCAAAATAGGCCTGTTTCAGCAATAACCTCTTCCTTCGAGTCATATTTCTTTCCGATGAGCATTTTTTTGAAGTCTGCGAACAGCCAGTAGTTGCTGGAAGTCAAATCTGGCGAATATGGTATATGCGGAAGCAATTATAACCCCATTTCATGCAATTTTGACATCGTTTCCATGGATTTGTGAAACTGTGCATTCTCTTGATGAAGAAACACTTTTTCAAGATAATCGATGAATACCACACTACGCACATCCTAAAATACTGAGGCCATAACCTTTCCAGCCGATTGTTGTGCTTTCGGGTGCGGACGAGGTTCACCAGTTGCTCTCCATTCAAATGACAATCGTTTTGATTCTGAAGTGAAGTGATGGATCCATGTTTCATTCATTGTCATATATTGACGCAAAAATTTCGGTTTGTTATGTTTAAACATGGCCAAACACTGCTCAGAATCATCAAGACGTTCTCGTTTTTGGTCATCAGTGAACTCGTGCGACACCCACTTTGAACAGAGATTTCTAAAAGTCAAATGCTCATGCAATATTAAGCCAGCACGTTCTTTTGATTTGATAGTTCGTACTGGAACTATAACTAAATTTTATTACTATGTTAGTGTTTTTATATGCTAGTGGTCTAACTTCTTCCTGTTAATATTACCTAACTACTATCTGTTATTGATCCTATGCTAAACAACCTGTTTTAAAAACAGCTTCTAGACAACATTTGTGAATAAAAATTACTGACTAATTGAACTCATCAGTTTGTTTGTTATTACTTGTGCAGATTCTTTGTTGATTCAGCTTCCCCTATTTTTCAGATTGTAGAAGGTTAAATACCCATAAACATTGACTCCTGTACAAAAAATTTTCTACAACGAGTATTTAATGTTGTTAATGAGACGAAAAAACTATATCAAAAGAACTCGAAATATCACTTATGATGCAGAAAAATGTTTTAAGAAAATAAAAATTTCGGATGAAGATGACAAACGGTCGTATTCAAGAACATCTCGTTAGGAATGCAAGACATGATGAAATTTGTCGTTTAATAACCGAATAGCTGTGTGAATATCTTGAAGTTGATTAAGAAGTGAAATGAAATAGAAAGAACGACAACTTTTAAATTCGAAAATATACTGACAAGTTGGCAATACTGTTGACAATATTATTAACATTTGACAGATGTTCAGCTAAATGATCAATGTGTACTCAACAGTATTTTTATGTGGGATGAAAATTTTATTTTTTCAGTACCAAGTGAAACGTATTCTGGAATATTCAAATTTATATTATTTGCTTCGAATATAATCGATTTTGTTTTAGAGATATTTCAAATCCACTCATCAACACATACTTGTAAATGATATTTCATGATTATAAATATTGGTCTCAAATTGATATTGATTGTGTCTAATCCTCTATTAGTTTGTCACCTCAGCTTGGATGCATAAATTGATAATGCGTGTTTATTCTTTCGTCAGCCTAAGTGGAGAAGGGTCTTGGCCAGTCACTTAGTATATTTTTGCAGATATATTAGTAGCGATCATAAGTTGTGAGAATTGAGTCAGTTAGTTGCAAATAGTTCAAAACAGCAGTTCACAACAGTTTAGTTTAGTCTTAGTCCTTATTTAATTAATGTATCATTGGCTGTTTATGAATTTGTACCGTTAGTGAACAATATTATTTTTATTACAGAGAAGCTTTAAAAGATGCTGAACTAGAAGAGTATCAAAAACAACTTAGGCAAAGACCACATATGATAAGCATAAATACATCAAGCAATATTAAGAAGCAAGAGGAAAAGAAAAAAAAGAATGCTAAATATATTACAAGGTCATTAAAAACCTTCGAGTACCGGGTGAGTTTTTCTAGCGAAAATTATACTTCATTAATGATTTCATCTGAAATGATTAGTATTTGAGTATATTCTGTCAACCATTTGATAATGAATGTTCTTTTCAAGGAAGATGAACCAGAATCATCAGGAAACGAGAATTTTTCAGAATCATCTGGCTACTCTGATTGGGTTGCTGAGGAGAAGCCCGAACGCCCAAAGCGCTCCAATCGAAGACCAAACACAAATCACGTTCAGTATTCTGAAGAGGAAGATGAAGACGATGATTATGAAAATGATCATGATTATGGGGAGGGTCCAAGTAGTAGTAGTCGTAGTAGAGAAAACCATGTTAACCGAAAAAAGGAAAACAAATCTGTAAAACATAAAGAAAATAATGCTAGTAGAAGTAAGGTAAATAATAGTAACCATACTTCAAATGATTTTGATATGAGTTCTGATGATGAAGATGTCAGCAACACAACTACAGAAAATCACCTTGGCAAAGCTAAGCTTATCATTAGGGTAAGATGATAGATCAACAAAAATTTTTAAATCTGCATATATTGAAATTTCAGCTCTCAAAAACCACTGCCGGTTCTACGTATACTGCCATACCTTCAACGAGTACTCTCCATTCCAATTCAAAGTTGAAAGTATCTGAACAATATAGATTGAGTGAGTGGCTGTCAGAGACTAGACCCCGAAAATCACCATATTATCCTCAGTTGGGCGATGAAATAGTTTATTTTATACAAGGACATCAGCTTTATTTAAATATAGTAGAAATAAAAAAAACTTATGAGATATGTATCAAGGAGTTACCATGGAACAAAATGACAATTCAGGTGAGTGGCTCTTTACATTTTATTGTTCTTGAATTCTTAGCAGATATATTTCATCAATAAATATGAGGTGGCAATAAGTTTACTACTCTTCAGAAGACAAGTCTCGCTGATACATATATTATGAATCTTTCTCATCCAACTCAGCTTGATGAAAACAGTTCAAGTCCAAAATAACTTACCACCCAAGAATAGTTCTAACCCCAAACATGTATCACGTTTGGGAATACAAATACCAACCTAATGGTCAAGGCCATGAGTAATGAGAAAATTGTTAGCTGGTACTCGAACTTGGACTTTGATATGCAAGGATCCACTGTTCAATTTGCTCATTTATGTAGTTGCCCATAAGATAGTAGCTGATTGAAAAGTTATAATCACTTTCGTCTCTGAATGAGCATTTTTAAATGTTCTACATAAAAATTTGATATAGTTACAATTGTAAGATCAGGACGTGTTCAGCAAATTAAGTCCAGTTTCGCCTCTATTTGTTTGAAATGGTACATCTGCTGTTTTTTATATACAGGGTAAGTCCAAGTATGCTGAATTCAGTACTTGTTTTTTCCTCTAAATTTCAAGTGAACACCAGCACTTGATTCATTAACAAGCTTAGAAATACTCGACAAAAGATCACTTCTAAATTATTCAATATACTAAAACCTAAGTGACTGTCTTTTATTTTTGGCTTAAATTATACCTATTATTTCAGGATCATGAATTTGTGAAAGTGATTGGTATACAGTATGAAATTAAACCTCCGAGGTTATGCTGTTTGAAGTTGGCTCTTTTAGATGACGAAGGGAAATTAACTGGAAAAGTATTCACTGTCAAATACCACGATATGCCAGACGTGTTGGATTTTTTTGTTTTGAAACAAATGTACAACACTGCCTTGTCAAGAGATTGGAAAATTGGAGACAAGTGAGTAAAATATATTATTAGCTTCCATTAACTTTATATTTTTTAGCAATAATTCATGACTTTCAATTCAATAATTTGAAGGAAAACTTAAATTATTGCTAATGTTTCCAGTTATATTCTGTAAGGGAATTACATTCTCCATGAAGGCTCAAAAGTATTTGAGCCTTTATTGAGAACTCTTTTAAAGCTTTTTCTAGTTTGTTGTCTCATCCGTGCCATATTCCACCAGGAAACATTGCGGTGTGCTTTTTGGTTGACGTTGGAACAATGTTCGTTGTATGCAGAGATAATAGCTTCCAGTAATAGGTCTGCTGCTAACTATTAGTCGGTAGAATCTCTTATTACAAAACCTATCCGGTCTAAACAATTTTCCAGGTCTATCTTCTGAGTTTCCCAGTTAGTTTTCATGGGGTTTTGATGAGATACAATCGAAGTATGAGACCCTCCGATTCCAAAGTCGATTTGTCGATGATCTGAACAAATTTTCTCATCAGACAAATTCCATTTCTCAACATAGTTACTTGTAAATGTAGTACCTAATGTTAAGTCTATCACTTCTTTGCGCCTCATGTTAACAAAGGTAGGTTTATTGCTAATTATGAGCTGTGATCTGTCTCCTTGGCAGGCTCTCATTAAAGCATTCACGTTCCTGGTTGGTGGCGGCTTGACTATCATAAGGAAGGTTTTTCCTCACTAACCATCCTCAGATTGACTGCCGTTAAGTCCCTAGTACAAAAGTTACTCAGCGGCAGTATATTTAATAATTTTAAATGGAATATGTAGGCAATATGCTTTTCATGTATATGCGAACTAATGTCCATTTATGTATGTAAACATGTATGTGTATTCATATTTATATTTATGTGAATATCTATAACAATTTTTTCAAATCTGTATTGTATTATTAAAAATCCTTTTCAAATAATTATGCATGGCCCTGGTCTCTCTCAGTTCCATGATCTTTTACCTGTAGACCCTGGGTTCGTGAAGCCCTCTTTTTGAGTTGTCGATTGGCTTGTACGACTTTCAATGTGAGTCATAGGAGTTGCTCAGAGGCCTCCTCCTTTTGTTCTCGATTGTGGTCCATTGAGTTCCCACTAATGTGGGGAAAAGGGTTTTCCACATCTGTGAAGCCCCTGTTAGGATGAGAGGCTAAATACTCTGGGAGGTCGCCTGGTATCTCAGAGTCCCATATACCATACATCCTTTGGCACATGTCGCATAACACCACTGGATCAAGTCCCCTTATTAGTTGCCTCTTAAGACAGGCAAGGATTACCGTGGACTTAGTCTTACCCCTTGTGCCGCAGGTGATTGCTTTAGTTGATAGTGAAAAACAAATGTATATACACAACTATTTTTGACGAATTGAATTTATATGCTTCTCAAACAAATAAAATCAGTTTTAATGATAAAAGCTATATTTACAGTGCATATATGTTTGTTTGAAAAAATCTGTTTTTCAGTTAATCAGTTATCGCACCCTTTCGAACGACAACTCTCAAAAAATTTTAAACTTGTGCAAGCTAAGGACTAACAAGGTCTTACCTTTTAACGTGTGATACCTAACACCGGTTGAACGATAGAAAGTGAAAATCTATTGTTCGGCCTTGCGGTTCCAACTACCTTGGTTCGCACAGCCGTTAATTAAGTGAGTGGAGCAAACCACCCACGTCAACCCAACCGGCTACCGTCTCGTAAATAAGCATTTTGTGTTGAGGAGTGAAAATCTGAAAAGATAGTGCCCAGTCAGAAAATCCCCAGTAAAAGTTTTCTGGTAAGTTATACGCCAGAAAAATATCCTTAACAAAAAAAAGTCTCATAACAAAAACATTACTTGACAAAAATATTCCACGATAAAAACATCCCGTTGCAAAAAATCCTACGACAAAAGTATCGTAGGTGCCTGTTAGTTTAAGTCAGGTTAGGTCAAGACAGGTCGGGTAGGGGGCGCGCGTGTACGTATGGGCTTGTGTGTGGCTTAGGATATTAGTGTTGCAAAATATTTTTGCCGTGGGATGTTTTCGTAGTCGGATATTTTTGTCAGGCGACTTTTTTGTTTGGGATATTTTTTTGTTATATATTGATGCTTGGGATATTTTTCTAGGAATTTTCTGACGGGAATTCGGAAAGAATCTGTCTGTTCTGTTCTTGAATATAACCATGAAAATATGTTGTTTTGATAAGTATGGCCAAATTATTTATCGAAAAAGTTATTGTTATGTTTTGAAATTTTCGTATTTCAGTTCTGACTTGAATTTTTTTAATTGATATCTATCAATCAACACTTCTTTGATTGGCGACTTGTTTATTTTTATAACACCATTTTCAAAATGGTGTTATTTATGACCGAAACTAGTCAATAAATATATAACTATCATGGAAAATAGACAAAAGTGTGTTTTTATAGTATCAATCAACAATTGGAAATTATTAATTATATGTTCATTATTTCAGATTCAGATGCATGATAGATGATGAATGGTGGATTGGACAGATAATGAACAAATCACCTGCAAGCGAAAGTTTTCCAGATTCGGTATTCTTATGCTATGAAATTATGTGGACTAACGGAGAACGAGAGCGTATGAGTCCATGGGATATGGAACCAATCGACCCTGAAAGTGAGATTTTGCAATTTTGATAATTGAATTTTTAAATAACTACTTTCTGAAAAATAGTCGAAACGCCAAATTGTTTTTTTTTTCAATAAACAGCATCAACCCTTTGGGTCATTAGCGGTGGAGTTGATAAATAACATTTATAACTTCCTAATTAAATCTAAAGTGTGTAAAAATGGAATGATTTGGTTACTATTACTATAGTCTAACATTTCTTTCAAGTTAGGGGATATCTTAAATCTGTCTCTCTCAATTTGGAATAGAGGGCATTGCACTATAATATGTTTCACAGTTAGTTGAACTTCACAAATATCACAAGTTGGTTCATTTTGTCCAGACAACAGGTATTCGTGTGTGTGCTTGGTGTGTCCTAGGCGGAGTCTGGTCATTGTCACTTGTTCTCTTCTTTTCGTTAAGTGATTTTGCCACGGTCCTACATTTGGTTTGACTTCTTGTAGTTTCGATTGTGAGGCCTGCCAATCAGCATTCCAAACGTTCTTCATCTTGTTTTTGATGTAGGATTTTATGTCTATCGAAGGAGTGTATTGCAGCGCAGTCTGGCTCGGGTTATTGATTGCTTCTCGAGAACTTTTATCGGCCGATTCATTTCCAGTTATTCCTATATGTGACGGAACCCAAAGTAATATTATTTCTTTGTCCAATGATTGGATGATAAAAAGTTCTCTTTTAATCAGTCTTCCTATTGGATGGTTTATGTATATTCGACGAAGTATTTGTAGAGAGCTTAAGGAATCTGTTATAATCAGGAACCTTTTAGATAGGCTCGATTTAGCGAATCGTAGCGCTTGGAGGATTGCGAAGAGTTCCCCTGTGAGAATCGTATTGGTTTCCGGTATTTTATAGGTTAGGGTAGTCTCAGGTGTAACAACTGCTGCTCCTACTCCAGAATCTGTTTTGGATGTATCTGTGTAAATTTCCATGAATGTTTTTTCTTCTCATTTATAGTTATGAACTACCTAATGCAAATCATTTTCAATTCATATAAAAAAACAATCAATAATCAAAATTTCAGGTTATAATTCATCATGTGAATTCACTCAGTTGGACATTGTGATTATCTCCTTTAACATTGCTCTGAACAAATTACATTCCATACTTATCCCATAGCTGGTCAAGAGAACAATATATAAGTCTTTAGTGTATATGATAAGCATAAATTTGAATTGATAGAGACCCAACCTAATCTAGACATTCTGGCATATTCCGATTAGATTTTTTTTACCTATACATATTATCACATACTTGGTATATTTCTTCATAGAAAGTTCTGGTATGTCAAAATACCCAAAAATATCAATAAAAAGTAACCATGAAATACCATTCATAAAGAATATGGATGATAAAGACATTACATATGCTGGTGTAATGATATTTTCAGCTACACTGCAGAAATAGTCATATAAGCATTGTCCTGATATCTCAACTGGTTTAATTACATTTATAGGCTTCCTTCCACTATTTATTTCAGTCCAGCAAGCTTTAGAAATATATTTGGAACTTGAAATGAATTGTTCATTCACTTTTTTTTGTTTCTGTAACTGGATCTTATAATCTTTCTTCAGAGCTGTGAATGCCTCATATATAATGGATTTCGAGACATATTTGCTGCGTTTTTTGCAGCATTGAGATTAATTATTATTTCCTCAAGTGTATCTCAAACCATGTTAATTTCAGTTATTTTTGGTGGATACATGTTTCTTTAGAGGAAAAGTGATTTTGTTGGAATTTACAAATATATTTATGAGGTTTTCCGAGAAACGACACACCATTCTGTTCAGTATTCAGATAACTCACCAATCTGTTCAGTATTCAGATAAAGTAATTTTTGAAATTTCTCAGACATTTTTTTGGTAACAAAAAATATGTCAGTTTTCTCTGTGCGAATGTCTGGAGCTTCATTGGTGGTAGCAAATTGCCCTTTATTGTCAGAGAGGCCGGGGTCAAAAACACTGGTTTTCAGGTAGGTTTGATATTATATTATCCATGCATGTGGACGATTATGCAGTTACTCGGGTGAAGCTATTGATGGTTATTTTGAGGCCATAGCAATTAGGAAGCATTTGAGTTGGAAATATGAAGTTGAATCAGACAAGAAATCTATATTAAAATCTCCCAGGAAAAATATTTTTTTGCTTTTCAATAACTGAGACAGCAGAGCATCCAGGCTTGACAAAAAGACATTGACGTTCCCTGTACATGATCTGTAGAATTCTGAGTCGAGTTCAACATTGTAAGTATCCAGGTCTACATTTTGTGGATTTAAAGTGTTTTTACTATAGATGGCAACCCCGCAATGCGAGGATTTGAGAACTTTGGTGGATACTGACTCATCACAAGTGGTGCGCGGGATGACGGAAGAACGGGGCGTCAGCTTCCATGCGGTTTTTGATTGGAAAGGTAAAAAACTCAAATTGTCAGATTTTGAGGTCTGTTCCTCTTTGCTTTTGAGCAACCAAAACGAACCTTTTTTGCATCGGATCGTCAAGTGTGAAGAAAAGTAAATCCTCTACGACAACAGGAGAAATTGAGGACAGTGGTTGAACACCGATGAGCCACCTAGGCACTTCCCAAACCCCCTCCCCCCTTAAAAAGACCATAGTCACTTTATGGTGGTCAGCGGCTGGTGTGATTCAATATAAATTTCTGCAACAGGGCCAAACCATCGCAGTAGAGTCCTATCGTGAGGAAATTGATGAAATGTACCGAAATTTGTATGAGCAGCAGCCGGCAGTGTCAACAGAAGAGGTTCTATCTTGCTCCACAACAAAGCCTGTCCGAAAATTGAATGAATTGTTGAAGTTCTGCGTCACCCACCCTACACCTCAGACCTCTCTCCAACCAACTACCATATTTTCGAGCAGTTCGATAACTTTCTCACCAAATAAGTATTCACTGATATATTACAGTTTAATGTGGATTCATAAAAATGGACAAAACTCTTGAAACGATCTAATGTTTATATAAAATAAACTCAAATTGGTATTGAGTGAGACGGCAGGGATTAGTTTCTTAACATCGGACTCACCAACTGACCCTGTGTTAATGGTGCTTTTCACTAAAAAATGCGACACTAGTGTTCAGATGGTCAAACTTCAGGTTTTTCATTCCTTACTGAAGTTTTCAAGATTAATTACGATTTTCATCGAAGAATGGAGTTCAGGGAATCAAGATGGGCGATTCTTGCACACTACCTCGGAAAAGTGTTTTTCATGTTTAGTGTCAGGCTTCAATCGAGTTACGTGATGTTATATAGTTTTGGACACAGTACTAATATCAGATATTTCATTATTGCCACCTATCAGGAATCTTCTATTTATCTTGAAACTCCTCATCTTCGATTTCTAAGTTTTGCACATCAGGTAATATATTTTCCATTTCTGCTGTCACGATTCCTGTATTAACTTCCCCTCTTGTTATAGTTATCTGAGATTTCGGGTTTTCTTTAGTATTGGTGTCTTTAATTACTGTACTGTAAGATTTGGAAGCTGTTTTTTCTGTTAAAGACTGAGATGTGCTCCACTGGCATAGGTGGTTTTATAACTGGCTCTATATGTTTTGCGACTATATGGTTTTATCTTTAATAACGTTTGTACTTTTTTTATTCTGATGTGGATTCTCTTTTGTATAAATTTGTGAATTTATTATATCAAAAATGCATTTTTTCGTAAAAGTTGACTCTTCTGCAAATAATATTTAATTCATGAAGATGGTATCATTTTGATGTTTTCTAATTTGCAATGCCTATGTCTTGTTAAAGCTAAATGAATACAATAAACTAGAACAATAATCAAAATATGATTGTATAATGCTATTATAAAGAGTAATCTTCAAGTACATAGTTTCTTTAGCTGAAATTCTAGAGAAGTACAATTTCTTTGATACCTTTTTGAGAATGAAATCAATTTGAGCATTGAATTTCAAACTATCATCTACCATTAAACATAAATATTTAAATTTATTCACAAATGCTATGTTATCACCTGCAATCATCGAATTGAAATTATTTGTATTAACTCAGGATAGTTTATAACGTGTTGCTAGAATCATTTCCTTGAGGTACTCCTTGAAGGGGTTACAAGGAGTAGATAAACTCTAATTTATTCTAGAGTGAGTTGTTTACTATTAGAGAGATACTCACTAAAACACCGTCAATGCCAATTTGCTATAGTTTTCCAATAAAATTTGTTGAATTCTTCAAGTTCAAAAAAACTGCTACAGTATAGTTACCTCTACACTGATCAACTGTTTCCATTTCGTAACAGTCACTTGAATCGTAGATTCACATGAGTGATGCTGTCTAAATCCGGATTGGTATTTTGAAAGAATTTGGTTATTTTCTAAGTATTTCGTAAGCTGAGAAAATACTGCTAGTCCGAAATTGTCTCCTGTATAGCAATGTATTCATCAGTCTAAATTCACATGATTTCATAGTATTCAAAACCTTTTGAATTGCTACGACAGTGCTGGTTTTGAATTTATTTGGATATCTACCACTATCCAGTGATATATTTATGAAATTCAATAAAACGTGACTTATAACTCCAAAAGTTTTCTTAACGAGTTTAGCATCATTTATTTCATTACTATACTTAGTTTCTAGATTATTGATTATTTCGGTTAGATCCTTCAGTTCCAGTTTTTTTATTGTGACTAATGAAAATCTACTTTTACATGGAAATCTATTATCAGCATAATTTATATTGTTTATATAACAAATTCTTGAATGCTATCAGTAAAATATGTGCAGTTCAGCCATTTTTTAGTCGGATCTGTAAATCTTGGGCTCGATATGTATTTCAAATTAAATACCAGTGCTGAAGTTTTTTTAGTGTTTTCCACATGATGAAGGATGATATCTGTTATAGTATTAGGGTTTTCAATATGTCTTCACTTACTCTAATAGTCTTGATCTAAATTTCGTCCTGACTTAAACTGGACGAAATTCAATAGATCTGATATTAGGTTTGAGCACTTATTTTGAATTCAAAATAACCAAATGATACAATTCTTCTATATTTATTCAATGGTTGGTATGGTACATGAAAAGATCACTTTTTGTAAAAGGTTCATCAAAAATAAGTTGTTGAAAACTCCAATTTGGAAACTAGTGTTGCCTGTAATTTAGCCAACCAACATTTATTTGACTATTGTACAAGATATGTCAAAAATATCTAAATATCAATAAGCCATGAATTGTAGATTAGGTTAATCTAGTTTCATCAAGATAAAAGCAAAGAGCTCTAGAATAGGTCCTCAGCAACAGAGTGTCTTCAGCAGTGTCTTCAAATAAGAGGGTCATAGAACTTGTCCTAAGAGAGCATTTACAATATTGATCCGATTAATTTTCAAATTATAATTTGAAATTGGCAACTGCAGGGAAGTTGATAAGGGCTATGAAGAAAAACTTATTGTAAGTTCTAGTCATAAAAATATCTAGCAAGATATATTTTTCAAATGAACTGATTTTTTCATCGAATATGTTTGACGATAGTCGTGTAACTAAGTGTTCTGGCGATGTAGTGAATTTATTGGAGCCTCTGGAGATACCCTATATTTTGTTTTATGAGAGAGAGAACATTGGCAAATCAAGATCTTCAGATGATGTGGTGCTGCAGGTTTTTCCAGGTTTTCCTGCAGCTGAAAAAGCAAATGCGCCACTGGAATCAATGAAGTCGCCTATATTAGACAATGGAAGTCCGAACTGATGAAATGCATCAAGAAACATTGTCAACCACCTTCTAATAAACAGTTATTACATGTCCTACTGAAAATCATCGTCACTCAACATTAACAAAACAGTATTATTGAAATATTCGTTGCATCATACGAATACACTCTCATAATATTTGGATATAATGATCTCTCCAACAACAAAAATGCTTGGTCTCACTTTAGATCACAAACTCACATGGAATTCACATATTGACCTACTCTGCGATAAATTGAAAGAAGTCTTGCTAGTATTCAACAATCAACTATCATACACAATATGGAAATCTAAACCAGAACTGGTACACATAATCTTCTGAACAGAGGATTCTCATACTCCTGAAATATGCTATCAGAATAATCGATGTTGATATATTGAATTTGTTGTTTGGGTGAATCTTGCTCTCCACGTGAAGATCAATAATTATTCTTGTATAATAAAAGTGAATTCAATTATTGAAAATAAAATGACTGAAATATTAGTATTAGCTGAAAAAATAAAATAAAAAAGAATATCAGAGTCTCCAAGTGACAATCCAGTATTGAAAGCATTGAGAGGATATGAGTGTATCTATTAGAATTATTATTGATTTGGAAATTCATTGAGCTATTGATAAGTTGACCTTGGATTTTCTTTTTGAACTAAATTTCGTTTTACTCTCTTCTTACCACAGCAATAGAGAAATAACACATATGAGTATTTTTAATCTTTAGGAGTGCCTGAAGATGAAAACCAAGCGATGCCTGTACTGGAACAAGAACTGACTTCTATTCTATATAAAACTGTTGACTGTGACTGGCCATACAATGACCTTGCAACTATAACCAACCATGTAGTAACAGGAATAACTAAAGTAATGGAACTGGCGATAGCAGAACCGTTTTTGGTACCTGTAGATATCAATGTTTATCCTGAATATGCAATGTTCATTGAATATCCAATTGACTTGTCCACAATAAAAGCAAGATTTGAAAACAATTTTTACAGAAGACTGACTGCAGCCCAATTCGATATTCGATATTTAGCGACTAATGCTGAAAAGTTCAATTTGAAACATAGTACCATTGTGAAACAGTCGAGAATTGTTACTGAACTATGTCTGAGGATAGTCAAGTAAGTCAGGTTTACAAACTCATGCCTTACCTAGTCATAGAGGGGTGAAAAATTCACCCCTCCCAACTTCTGCATAGGTGAAGATATAAACATGAAATTTATATAAAAAGGTATTACTTTTGGTAAAAAAGACAATAGTGTCGCATAACTTATCGCCGAGAAAGCGCTGAGAACAGTTTTCAAATGAAAAGGGGAGTTTTGTGATACCTCATTTGATAGGTATTTCAATTCTCTATCCAACACTGTTTTATTTTTTTAAATCGAATTAGAAGTTCCTGAGTAATTATTAGTTTCACACTGCAGCCTCATGGACTTTTTTGCATTTTTCTTCCATCTTTTCATGACATTCATTCCAACAATCTAATTTCATGTACTGGTTTGTACAGGACATTTATTGTATGTTGTATTCTTATGGACATATTTGGGTTGTCCATAAATTGCTTTCCAAACGTAATCCAGTGCCTCACTTTCACATATAACATGATGAACTGCCTCTGTCTATTTGTTGAATTGACTGCAGCTATGTCCTCCGTTGTGCAGTCCCATTTTGTTCAAGTGTCCTCTAAACGGACAATGTCTAGAGCATATTTGTAATTATTCTGAGCCGAATTTTGCTGAATTGAAGCAGTTCTTTAGTTTTTAACAGATGGTCTCTTTTAGCAATGGTTTTCTCATATGCATTCTCAGATGTACTTTCCCAGTACTCTTCTATTGCTATTTCCTTATCTAATTCCTTATCATACATTTTGGTACCTCCACAACTAGTTCAGAGCTGATAATATGAGTCTAGAACATTCATCAACTTTTTCGTTCTCTGTGAATCCGGAATGTCAGGTACCCAGTTTAGAGTAAATCTGTTATGGTCCTTCAGTTCTGTATGACATTCCAGGACCAGCCTTTATGTCATTCTTATGTCCATCAATGTCTCGAGTGCCTTTTGACAGTTTGGATAGCTACTTTAGTGGTTAATTTTTCAAAAAACAACCCATAGATTTTTCATATGTAGAATCACAAACTTTGATTCTTTGTCATTTTGACAGACACTCTGAATTTTCACCTCGCTTATAACTTATTGACAAATTCTGAACGATACCTGTTACTTTTAGCTACTTCCTTCATACTTTTTTCTCAAAGTCGTATCTCTTTGTTCAAAAGGATGAACCTATTTTTGAGAAAATATAGTCCCTTCATTATGTATGTATACACAATATAAATTCATTGTGTATACATACACGACATTATTTTAAATACATTGTACTCTCACATATTGGAAGCAGGTTTACGTAAATCCTGATTTTTTCCATGAATATAAAGAAAAATATTCAAAGAAAGAATATCAATGTTGTTTAATATTAGATAGTTTTTTAGGTTTTTACCTAAAAATATTTTTTGAAATGGTATTCCTTTTTTGCATTTTGTTAGTTGCCAATTAAAACCAATTGCTTTTTTTGTATGTAGTATATATTTTTAAGGTAATATACAAGCATAATTTTCCAGAGGTTGTTCAGACTATATTGATGTTCCCAGTCTGTACCATCGTATTGTGGATTCATACAATTCTTGTGATAGTGAAGAAGAATTAGATGTTCCACCATCTAGCAGTAAAAATATTCGAACTTCATCAAAGAGGCTCAAGAGAAACCCTAATGATTGGAAAGCTGAAGCCGTGAATCTTGTAGAAAGTTTATGGAAGTCCAAAGATTCGGAACCATTTCGAGAACCTGTTGATCCCGAAACTTATCCTGGTTAGAATATATATCTTTGAAATATTATTCGAGCAATAATCATTTTATTGTTTCAGATTACTACAATATTATCAAGAACCCGATGGATCTCGGAACAGTAAGAGAAAATCTTAAGAATAGTAAATATGATGTTCCACAACAATTTATAATAGATATGAGACTGATATTTCAAAATTCTAGACTATATACTCCAAATAAGAAATCATTGGTAAGAATACTCCCAAATAATTCATTTGATTCTGTCATATATTGTTGATAAAATAAATCGTTATATTCACATTTTATAAATTGAAGATCACACATTTCTGAAACTAAATTCATTCCTTTTCTGAAAATTGTAAATTCAATTGAATTACGAATTTTGTTCAAAGTCATTTGAAATTGCTCAACTTTGTTTAACAAGTTTCAATTGTATCTACTGTCTATGGAAGTATATGACAGATCATCTTCAACTAACGAGGGTTTTTTTAATGATCATTATCTGCTAATTTTTTTACAGAATATGAACTAAGAATATATTTTGTTTTAGATATATGATATGACTGTTCGATTGTCTGACTTATTCGAAGAACTGACAAAAAGATTAATGTCAAAATGGAAAACTGCTAAAAGAAGACAGAATCGAAAAAGAATCAGTAGTAGTGATGAAAATGAAGTTTCTATTTCCACAACTTCAAGTGATGAAGAAGTGATGGAAAAGTTTACATCTGGATCTCAATTAGAAGTAGATAGTGATACTGATGATGACATACCCTTAAATATTCTAAGGAGTAAAACGAACACAGAATCTGATACTACCAGTCAAAGTACATTCAGCAGGGGTATGAAGTCCAAGAAACGAAATGCAGGCTCTGAGGATGAATATAGTCCAAGTGCCAATTACCGTCAAAGCGCCAAAAATAATAAATATAAATCATCTTCATCTGAGGAAGAAATAGAAAACTCATCTTCTAGTGATGAAGATGAGAGTCCTGAAAGAAAATGTAATTTGAGGCAGAGACCAGTCAGAAAAAAAATTCTTTTATATGAAAGTTCTGATAGTGAAAATAGCTCTAATACAAACAAAAGAATAAAACGTGGTGTGAAACGCGGCTTTGATAGTGACAGTGACAGTAAGTCTAGTCACAGCACTTTACCTTTGGTGAATAATGAAGGGAGTTTCATTTCAAACGTGAGCAGTAGGGGTAGAATAAGAAAGCTGACTGAGAGAGCCAAAGCTATGTTTAAGAAAAGGTGAAATTTACAGTGACGCTTGGTGTTTTTTTAGCATTTTGTATTCGTTGACCCCTGAAATTGTTCATTTTTCAATAGGGTTTTGTAAAGTTTCTTGTGATTATATTTTAATAAATTAAGTCAATTTTTGTTAATTGATTTATAAACGTTTAAGACCATGAAATATTTTTAAAATAAAATTGTTTTATAGATCATTGATTTTTTTTAGAAAACAAGTGACAGTTCAAAACTATTCTGAAAAAAAAGTGGCAGACTTGATTTTCTCCCCTGGTGTAGAATGTAGAAACTATAAATGATGAGATAATTTAATATGCAAAGGCCTTTTTGGTGTTAAAATTTTAATTTTGATACCAAGAAAATGGGAAATCGTACCTAACCAAAAACACAGATGAGTGGCTGGCGTCTGTTGCTGTCTGTGTGCATTTGGGCTTCTTCTTGTAACCAAATATTGTCCATCGCCGCATTTAGCTACACCTTACTGACGAACTAACCTGAAACAGGTGTCCATGGTTTGCTTTTTTCTGAGTGCTATACTCAAAAAATATGTCTCTCTGGTTTTTATGAGGCTTATTGGTCTTCAAATATTGTGAATAATCTACGGATTGTTGATTGAGTGTGGAATCCTCTATAAAGTTATTAAGGAAAGTCTGTAGCTATTTTCTGTAAAAAGCACTGTACGCGATAGTGTGCATTATGGTGAGATGATGGGGGCAAATAGTTTACATATTGCAAATTGAAGTTTTTGTGGCCCTGATAGCATTACCAACTACTTTCTAAAAAATAGTGTCTACTCACTAACATATACAATATATATCCTTTTCAAATGTTCCATAAATACAGGGATTGTCCCTGAGTTATGGAAACATAACTACATTGGTTCAATTTTTAAATGAGGAAATAAACAAGACAAAGAACTACCGTGGTATATGTAACCAGGCTTCCCTACCTAAACTACTGGATAGCTTGATAACTGATCAGTTGAAATTTTATTGTAAAGAACGTTTCATAAATAATCAACATGGCTTTTCTATGAAAAAGTCTACAAATACCAATCTTTTGGTATTTGACCAAAATATTATAGAGGTTCTGGAGGAAAAGGCTGAATGGATGCAGTCTATAAAGATTTCTCCAAGGCATTTGATCGTATGGATCACATTTCATAAGGTTTCACAGATCCGTCTCTATTATGGTTTGAAAGCTTCTTGACTGGCCGATCTCAGCAAAATAGGATAGGAAATGCATACTGTTTTTACAATGCACATTTCAGAATATCTGTCAAAATTCTTATAAATATTGATACAATTGTCGTTTTAAGTGTTTGATATAGATGAACTTTTTACACTAAGTAATTTGGACGACTCGTTTAAAAGTTTTCCCCCTTGGAATTTACATCTCCAAGGGGGAAAATAGGGGTTCAAAGATTGTATTGGATTTCGTCAGTTTTGAAGTCGGAAACCTGAAGTTTTGGGTTAATAAAAAAATATTGTAACTATTTGTTTAAAATGGTCTGTCACGAAACTTAACCAACTAAATTCTACGCGAACGAAGCCGTGGGCAACAACTAGATCATATTGAAAATCTGATCAAAATATGATATACAAATTTTGATTATTGTACCATCTATCAACATGTGTGCAAACGTTAAGTTATTTACAAAAAATTTGAATCTCTGATGAGCGGCAAAAACATTTAACGATTCTGCTTGAAATGAATGACAAAACATTAGTTAAGATGGAAAATTCAATGCTAATATATATGAAGCTGTGAAATTGTAGATTCCAGTTAGTATAGATACGCCCAAAGAAGCTATTGTATAGCGAAACATGTGTTGCGTTTTCGTAAGTTTTACCTTTGTATACATACTTATATACAATGGTTTTACCTTTGTATATAGACTAACCTAGTAGGATAATCTTATGGAAATTATATTTGACAGAAAAGGAGACTGTTACTAGATGGCGTTACTAAAAAAGGAGACTCACGTTTGAGTTTCATCTACCCGCCATCAATAGAGTCGAAAATTGCTTGTCATGAAGATTTTTATCTAGATTTTTACCTAGGCACTCCTCAAACTGAGGAGTGCCAGATTGATGACAGTACTACCAACTGTCGAAAGCGCTCGCAGATAATTAATAGAAGATATAAAGCTTCAAATCCTTTTTGTAGAATTTATTATTGAAATATATATATTCTTGTAAGTAAAACCTTTTAATTGTTATTATAGGTAATGGCAGATTGGCAGATTTTAGTCCAAAGGCTTTGCAAAAGAATTTTTTATGCAGTAATCATTTTTCCGCTGATCAAGTGGCTGCAAGAACCTTGCCAGTAGATGCTGTTCCGGAAAAGTATGTTTCAGACAGTAGCTGTGTGGAAAATAGCCCGCCTTCATTAGATGTGGCTTCGTGTTCGAAATTTTATGTAGGCATTAACAGAAGACTTTTTGAAGACAATATCATTGAGAGTAGCTCTAGTAGCAGTGATTTCCAAGGATTTAAAAATCTACCCATTGATGAATGTAAACTGAAAAAAACCATTCACTTGAGTGCGAAAATGCCAAATTGAAGTTAATGCTATCCAGATCAAGAATGAAAATAAATAATTTGAAAACCCAGTTGAACGAATTAAAGAAAAAAATCATGAAAGTTCAATTATCTTCTAAGGTTTTATTCAAAGATGCTCCAATAAATTTATCCAAGACATTATTGAATATGCAACTGAGACATAAATTTCGTTCACCTTGGACATTATTGGAAAAAAAACAGCAATATCCTTGCTGCCCTTCAGCATACAACTATATGAGACAAAAAGGCATAAGCTTTCCAGCAATTTCCACGATAAAAAAATGGTTGGGAAATTTCAGATGTGAACCAGGATTCAACAGAAAGGTTTTCACACAATTGTCTTTGAAAGCCGGAACTATGAAACTGTCAGAAAAAGTTTGTTTGCTAATTTGGCACTAAAAAAGAAATTAGATAACAATGAGAAAACAGATTTAATCGAAGGACTGGTAGATTTAGGAAATGAACTGGGAAGAAGACCTGTACAGGCAAATCTCGCTCTAGTTATCATGATTCGTGAAATTTATTCAAATTGGAAAATGCTCTTTGCATATTTTGTAACTGATGATGGAGTAAATGCAAGAGATTTCCAGGCAATAATATCAACTTGCTTGAATAAACTCGTATGTGCAAAACTAAATCCAATAGGGCTGGTATGTGATTTATCAAAAGTAAATCAACAGTTTTATAAAAATTTGAATGTATCTCATACAAGACCTTATTTTATACAGGATGAGAAAACATATTTTGCATTTTACGATACCCCACATTTGTTAAAGTGCTTGAGAAATAATTTTTTGAATAATTATTTCATTTTGGAAGATGAACATATAACATTTTCTGATGTCAAGAAGGTTTACGAAATCGATAAAAGTAGCAAAACTGGTAGATGCCTTTTGAAACTAACTGATAAACATTTTTCTCCAAATGCATTCGAGAAGATGAATGTTAGATTGGCTGCTCAACTTCTGAGTCATAGTGTGTCAGCTGCCATCAAAGTTGCAGTGAGAAGTGGGGAACTTGTTTCCTCAACTGCAGAAAACACAGTATTTTTCATAAATACTATTAACAATTTGTTTGATGCACTGAATAGTACTAATTTTAAAAGTGCTAATCCATATAATCGTGTTATGTGTGAGAAAAATCCTCAAGTAATGGAAGCACTCGATGCTGGTTATGTTTTAGTGCAAAAATTATACAAAATTATTAAAAAAAATCGAATGTGTAGGCCACCTTCTTTTAATGGATTTTTACAAACCATCAATGCAGTAAAAGTGTTTTTCCAAAAACAAAAAAGTATAAGATTCACATTCTTGTTTACAGGCAGGTTGATAAAGGATCCTCTTGAAAATCAATTTTCAATTTATAGACAGAAAGGTGGTTTTAATAGAAAGCCCACAGCGAAAACATTTCGGGCAGGATTCAAAATGAGCATTGTGACTAATTTGATAAGACCCTCACTCGCTAAGTGCAAATTCTGGATCAAATATTGATCATAATCGAAACATTCTTGATAATGAAAACTTAATAGATTCTGTTGATTCCACAACTGAAGAAAATACTCTTGAGACAATAGACTCAGATGATTCATTATGTGAAAGTTCAAACGGAAATCAATCTAAACAATATTGTGTTTTTTTTGAAGAATTTAATTTGGAAAATTGTTCAACAGTATATTTTGCAGGGTACTTGGTAAGAAAATGTATGAAAAAATTTAACTGTCATTATTGTCAACAATGCCTTGAAGGAGATGAAGACGTTGACAATGTTGACGAGTTATTAATTTTTTTCAAAAATTATAATTTACATCAAGAAAATTCACTCAAGACACCAACAAATTTGGTGCAAAACTTTGCTATGATTTGTATGACAGTCTTTAGTGAAACTATCAGAAATTTTTTATCGACAAAAATCATTCAACATTTAAAATCTATCATTTATGATAGTTTGAAACAAAAACATCCAAGTTGGATGGACGTGAGTGAGGGTTGTCGTGAACATAGAGAATATATGTTAAATTTGTTGTTGAGAACTTTGATAAACAAATATTGTAAAAATATTTCCAATTCAATAAGAACTCGTGTTGGTTTAAAAAATGTAAAATTATCCATATTGCAACATAATTGAGTTCTCTCATCTACCAAAAGTGTTGGTTTGTTTTTCTCAACATTCATCAATGGGCGTGTGTTAAAAAAGATAACACTCTTCTTGATATATCAACTAGAATTCAAGTACAATATAATATAAATCTCATAGCTATATTCATGTTACTTTTGTTAATCAACGTAAAAAGTTTTGTAAAAAATAAGGAGAAGCAGAGGTGGTGGAATAAATAGTGTTTATAAATACATAATGGGCGTTTTACACTGCAATTTTTACGCAATGCAAGTCCAAAACTCCCATAACCTACTGGAAAGATTCTTATTATAAGGTTCACTTCCCAAGCTCGTTATATTATAAAAATAATAGTAGTATACCAAAACTCAAAAATAGATCAAATAATTATTAACATAAGACATTAAACTACTCTCAAAATATTTCATAACTGAAAGATCTGAATATTACTGAAGTTTTTTCCCAACACCAAATCGTTATTTTTAACACCTCGACACGTGTTTCGATCATCAAGTGAT